AAAGGTTCTCCGCTCAACTTATAATTAGAAACAAATAATCTACGGAGAACATAACAGGATTAAAAACTTCAACTGGCTGAATCGAATGAGACATGCAGTTGGTAATTAACAGACAGGGCCGTAGCCTGAGGAAACAGCCGACATTTGGTGACGCTATCACTAGTTTTCCCGCCAAATGACGTCTGAAAAACGAGCGCAGAAATTTCATACTAACTCATACTGATTACGCGTCACTACCCAGATCTGAGTAGTGCTTCTGATTGGTCGTGCAGCGTGGGAAATTTGATTCAACCAGTCAGAAGCACTACCCAGATCTGGTGACGCGTCATCAGTATTGAATTTCCGCTCTCGTTTCTCAGACGTCATTTGGCGGGAAAATCAGTGGTAGCGTTGCCAAATGTCGGTTGTTTTCCTCAGGCTAACAGAGCGGAGGATTTTCGAATTTTAAACAAACTAGAGACGTCCTTGTCGGAACGCGAACTCAAAGTCAGGATTACCGGATTGTGAGTCCAACGAGGTAATACCACTTGGCCACACTCTCTTCCCATTGGTGTGTGATATAAATATGTGACGGTATAGCGACAGCTCTTGAAGCGCTTTTCAGTTTAACAACGGGAATAAAGGCTACGACCTACAGTTGTCAAGCATTACTTCAATAAACTGCTTTTGTCGACGTGCTATTTAATTGGATACGACGTATGAGTGTAGTGGGAAGACTGAAAACACAAAGACGGCTATTTTTAATTAATACATGATAGTACTTTCCAATGAGTGTTACGTATAATCAAAGTTATTTCATGATTAATCAAAAGTGACGAAGACAATGTAATGACCTGATTTAGTGGAAACACAAGCAGTAGACGCCAATAAGTCTGGTTGGAATTAGCGATGAAGACTAGAGAAAGTGTACTATGAAAAACGCTGCACCACTTTAGGTTCTTGAACTTTTTCCCCCTATAATTAATAAACAGCTAACCCGGGTTGGTGTAAAGCTTAAGAGCCTGCAGTAAAGCGGTCATCCCTGATCCGTTATCATCCACACCAGGAGTTGTGTCAACGGAGTCATAATGAGAACCAATCAGAACAATCTTATCCTCAGGTGATCCAGTGTACCGACCAGGCAGTTGACCAATGATGTTTATTCCTGGATACTTAAAAAATTGCAAGAAACAAAAATTACGCCATAATGGCAAATCATCAGACACATCAGACTGGGTTTTAAAAAGTAAGGTTGGATGTACGCAGTAGTTCGTACGTATCAGCTTACATAAGAACTATCATAACACGAATTGTCAAGTTTTTATCAAATACAATCGCACCTCTCCATGGTAACGGCTACGTATCGTCTAACCCAGGCAGGTTGGCCTGGGGTGGCCGTCGTGGAGAAGGCCGGGCTAGAAAACTATACATTGAACCTTACAAAAAGAATTTATGCGACGTAATAATTTGCTGTTCATTTTCAATCCTGAAATCGTTCATTAAGTTCCATTTCACGGAGCTTGTAACAGACTAAATAAAGGTTAGTAGGCTCACTGTCAGCTGACAGTACGGGCGCTTTCTATTTAGGAAAAAAACCCGGAAATTTCGGTGGTAGCAAAAGTGGAATTTCCGATTGGTAAAAAGTTGTTCCATTTGGTCGTAAACCCCGGTACGTGGCGGTGCCCGACCGTGGACCTGGAACTGATACAAACTACGAGAAACGTAAATGGAACACGAGATTCCGTTCCGAAATTCCAACCGGGAAAACGGGACTACCTTTTTAGATTTTCCACTTTTTCTGGGAATTTTCCAGTGGGACGAACCGACGAAACGTGTTCCATTTACCGCCGAACCGGAAATTCCGGAAATTTTGAGTAAATGGAAAGCGCCCTAAGTCTCCATAGGATTTCGTGCACAATTATAGCACCCTGGATGCCAGAGGTCAGTGAGAGGTCTTCTCTCTCTCGAGCAGTTCACTACTGAGCTTCCAGTTGCTCCCAAAGAGAAAAATCCTCAGGCACCCGGGGTACAGTTATAACCAATTAAAAGTCAACACCCTTTACTGCAAACACTGTAGGGACCTCGAGTTAGTGTCCTCTTCAGCGAGAGTCCGTAAGAGTGGGAGTTTATTTCAGTCAAATGTCGGTAAATTGTTTTTGCCGGGGATTTAGCCGCTGTCCGCGGGGTGTTCGTTATAGCGGGGTATCCACAATGGGATAGACTTGCTCACAAGTCGAGCTTTTGAGCGCGTAGCGCGACAGTGAGCGCCAAGCGCGATCGTACGAGCGCCGAGCGCGAAGGGCGAGCGAGCGAGCGAAAGCTCGACGTCGTTCGTGCCGGGTCCTACCACACCAGACCAGAAAACCATGCGAACGACTTTGAGAAAGTCTAACAATGGGAGAGTTGACTGTATTACCGCGACTCCATCTTTCACTCTGGGAGTGAAAAAGTTCTGAGCTTTTGTCCCTCTCAACTCAACAAAAAACCATTGAAAAGTCCATAATTTACCTGTGCGTTGTTACTTTGAAATTCTTCCGTCCAAGTGTACAGTCCTTGATCCCTAAATGTTTTTAGGATATAGTCACGTGCTCTCTGTTTCTCGGCGAAGTTTACCGCGACGTTCCTTGTTTTATTAAACTGGTTCAGTATGGAGCTCAGAGACTGTGTCAGGGTCATAGAATCGACCCTGAAGAATACTGCAAGACATAGTTCAAGATATCAAATTAACTCACTGAATACCATTTTATTGTCTGTAGATTGGGTGCAATTAATGATACTGGAAAGTCTTGCAATAACTAGGAAATGGAATTGTTCTTTCTTTTTTTTCTGTGGAATTATTGCTGATTATTTTATCTGCAAGAGAAAGTCGCAATTGTTATGCCTATGAGCCTCAGGCAAAATGCTTAATCCACCAGTCACTAACATATCGGCCAGCGGGTTTTTATTGGTCGGGAGCAGTTTCAAGTGTTATTATATTATTTTTCCAGATCTCACATCCCTTACTACTTCCTCTAACGAGTAGACAACGGGAAAATGAAGAAGCAAAATTTTGACTCCTCCTGTTTCCGGGTATCGGTGTGACAGATGATAAGCTATACTGGGGATAATATAAGAAACTTTAGACGATGGCAAAGAGAATTAACATAGCTGAAACTCCTAAGGTTTTTTAAAGGAATATGTTAAGGCCGTTTATAATAATGACAAATAATGCAAATGTCAGACAAATAATTGACTGTTTGAGACCCAATATGTATACACTTACCATATGCTGACAAATCGATGACAATATGGGTAAACTCAAGCTAATTATAGAAAGGCGCGACTTAGCTAGCAACGATAATGGTTCATAACCAAAATTTTCTGCTGAAATGTGAATTCAGTCGAGATTGATCAATATTTTAGTCATGCCATTTCACCAGTTTATCGAAAACATATGAAATTATAATTCTTTCTCTGGGTCGGTATTTCCAAGCTTGGAAACTCTTCCTTCTCACTGACAAGCTCACAGCGTTGCCACAGTTTTTATTTACGGGCGAGTTTTGCTGAATCGCGAAGTCACGTTTCAAAGTCTCTTGTTCAACTCTCCGGCCTAGTGTTAACCCCTGAACCTGTCAACAGTATACGAAAAGAAATAGAATTGAAAAATGCAGAACTATGACCACTTTTTAAAGTTCCTAATTTTACGTTATTATACGTGATTATCTTCGTTCCTTACCTGAGGCGAGGCAAAGGAAAAGCATTACAGTCCTTGAACAATCAGCCATGTTGTCAAGTCTTTGAAACAATATCAAGTGTTGCCCACGATTTAGCTGAGTGACGCTGGTGACGGTTGTTTTTTAAAAGTACACTTTCGTGCACCGTGACGAAGGCTATCAATATTACCCAAAAGTTATTGTAGCATATGTTTTGCGAAATATGCCATTCTTTACACGGATTTTTATTTCAAAATTGATTTAAGGCAGCACTAGAAAAGTGTCGCTTGTTTTTGCTTAACCCTTAAAGCCCTAAGAGTGATCAGCATGAAATTTCTCCTTGTAATATCAATGCCTTAGAAAACAGAGTGGTCATGAGAATTGAGTACATGATCAGGGAAGATGAGTCTCATTGAAATTTCAACAAATTCTCCCCACTACTTCTATTGAAAAAGTATTGGTTTTGATATTAGGGTTTAAAGGGTCAAAATGTAATTAACGATAACATTCTTTAAGGACAAGAGACAGAACTTTTCGATCCGATTTGGTTTCAAACCAGTCTTTCCGCTATTGGCTATCTGTAGTGATAATAGCTGAAAATAAAGGCAAACATGGCTCTCTGCGAGAGATTCGTCAGATTAATTTCGTATTTGTATTAGCAAGCCCATCGCATGCTAAGAAAGTTAAGCATTCATTGATTTCTTATTTAATAGTCTCCCACGCGGGCGTTGTAGGGAATCGTATTTCCTCCCTCCCCGTATATCCTGCTTCTTATCTAAATGTCACCTCGTCCCCAGCCCTTTTCCCTCAAAAAATGGGCCCCACCCATTTTTTAAGGGAAAAGCCCTGGGGACGAGGTTGATCTAAATGTATTAATTTTTAACATGCGTTTGAATGGTAAAGAATGGGATGCCTGTGCTTCCATTGGCTTCATATATAGGTGAAGTGCCTGTTATACCAAAAACAGACTCCTCAATGATTGTCTCTGTGGTTTTGTCCCTATCATGCAGACGTTTTCCCTGATTATATAGCAAATTTCAGGTAGAAAATGAAACTCCAGCAAGATCTGTGTAGTAACAATGTCTCGATTGCATGAAGAAAGTTTCACACCGAGAATTGAAGGGCACTTGGTACAGAGTTCCTCCGACATCGTTGAAACTCCGAATTTGATGATCCGGGTTACTGCCAAGGGTGCCCATTGCACTTCTTTCTCCTTTTAATATGTAAAATGTGTTGTTTGTTACCGATAGGGGTGCTTAAATCTAAAATCATGACCCGAGTTGGAGACTTTTACGGTATCGAGCCTTTAATCCTTTAACAGACCATAATTAAATATATCTGTTATTTAACAATGAGATTTATGGTACCTGTTAAACCACATACCTACCAAACACGATTTTGGCACCTATTTAGGGATGTACCGGTAGTTAAAAATGAATCCAACGAGTGTCCACATGTGACATTTCCATGAACGACCCGGTGCCCCAAAGCGCACGATACAAAGCAAAACTTCATTGGCGATCGCTTCTTGAAATGAAAGCTGAATGCCAACAGGGAATTGAAATTTAACAGGAATTTTACAGTTCTATCAAAGAAGGAGCTTTTCTTTTAGTAATTGAAAGGTAGAGGCAAGGCTTTGTAAGGCTTTGAAGTGCTCTTAATGGTATATATTTTTGACAACTACCTCTTGCAGACTTGAGGAATACTGAATTTCTGTTATCTCTTTATTAGACAAAAACAAAAAGAGCAGATTGTTTTTCTGAAACGCTGGGAATCAATGCGCCAGATGAGTTCACCATTTTTCCTGATACAGTTACAAGTTCGTTTTAATGCGTGTCTAACTGGTTTGAATCTTTCATAAACAACGGACAGAACTCATTTCTCCCTCTTCACGGCAAAAACCAGTGACGTCATAAGAAGAACACCAGTCAGCTGCCACATTTCTTGACCATAGCCTGTCACGTGATGAATGCAACAAAAAAAAAAAAAAAAATTAGTGTAACTGCCACAACTTTGTTGCTGGATTTTGTGCGTAAAGGGAGCGCTTGGAGATGGGAGAAGAGGGAGTAGAAAAAAAGAAAACCTAAACAGTTCGACTCTCCCGTTTTCCCCTACTCCCACTTCCTCGCAGGCTATCCTTTTAACAGTCATCCACATCCGTCAGCGAGGAAACTGGAGGCTAGCCTCACCATAACCTCGTCCCTCCTCGTATCTAAAACTCAGGACAAAGCCTAAGCCTTGACCCTAATCTTCTTTTGTATACACTAAAACAGTGGATAGTGTTTTTCGCGCGCTCTGATTGGCTACTCAATCAGTGAATATCCTGCACTATTCACTGATTCACCTCCAGTTCCTCCGAGCGAGCGACGCCAAACTCGCGTAAGTTGCGAGCAAAATGCCTTCCCGGTTTGCTGCCGTATAAACAAACAAAGAAATTTCACAACTAATCAACGATGACGAAGTTCGGTTTAGAAGTTTTAACAGGTAAAGCTTTGTCTTTTTGACTTGAATTTATCGATAAAACCGGTGAAAAAGTTTTTTGTTTACAAATGCAAATTAAGCTTAAGTCTTGCGTTACTTTATTTAGTTGACTTGTTCATAAATAAGCTTAAAACTAAATTTAGTAATCTTTTTTTTACAGAATAAGTTTGAATACAAAAAGAATTCACAACTCTGCTCGGTAAATAACCACGACTAGCCACCTCCACTTCTTTGAATAATTGTTATTTATTCAACTTACCCTTAGCGCCACTCGTTGCAGTTGTTGCAGTTGTTGCAGTTGTTGCAGTTGTTGCAGTTGTTGCAGTTGTCCACTCTGCTTTAAATCCTTTCGAGACAACCAGCTCGTCCGAGTGAAACATGATGTACATGGACTGGGCCGAGGCCTTGATGAGTCCAGGGGGTGTCCTCCCGCAGTACTTTCCTGTAACAAGATGAAACAAATAGTCAAATAAACACAACGATGTTTGCGGCGGAAAAGGGAGTTCCTCTCACATTTCAACAAACCGTTTGCGCTTCAAGAAAATTATTTTATGCTAATATTTTAAGTATCAGTTTTTTAGGATTTGACTATAAAGGGCTGTGAGAACTTTCCAACTTACAAAAAATTGCTTAGTACAAAGCTGCCATTTAATACCGACGAGGGAAAAAAACCGGACAAAGTTTGTGATTAGCTAAGAGTTATTTAGAAAGACCTGTAAACGGTGTTAGTTTTCAATGCCAAGTAGAACGTCCTGATCTTGTCGTTTCCATGGAATAGAGGGTAAAGTTCATGCAAGTTGTAATGCTAAGTATTGAGGAAGACTGCATATATGTTTCCTTGGTAGATCGAGATAATTCTTTGAGTTTTTTCGAAATTACGTCCGCCCCTTGAAGAGCGTTATTAGCGTAAAATTCCGAAAATAGGCCCTGGGGCTTTTATTTTTCAAAGGCCCTTTTTGAGGGGCTTATCTACGGAGGGAAATTTGCGTTTCAAAATCGATTGGGTTAGCCTTATGGTTGGAAGTAGTTTTACCGTTTTTGCTTGTTTTACTTTGTATTTGAGAGCAAGTTTCCAAGTACACGCCCCCGGGAGCTTATATTTGGAAGGGCGATTTATCAAGGGTTTTTTGCGTTACCGCATTGGGGGGCTTATATTTGGAGAGGCTTATACATGGAGGGGCTTATTTTCGGAATTTTACGGTATTTTATTACCAATCAGTGGGGCTGTTTTGTCTGTCCCGTCTCTTATTTCCACGTAGTCCGCGTTACAATTTGCACTCTGCTCCAAATCAAAAGTGGTAAACTTGAGATCGAGAACATGATCGTTTTGTCCAGCGTCCACTGAGATGGTCCATGCGCAATCAACGTTGTTAGGGTACATCGTGTTGAAGTATGGAGAAGTAACTTCACCTTCGTCTGCTGTGAGTTTTTGTAAACTACAGTCTGCCAAAATTTAACACAAAATACTGTCAGCATTTAATAGAATACACGGTGATCAAAGTTTACCTTTAAAAAGTTAGGAGATGCATCAGTTTTCTTCCTTTTTTGAAAGGAGAAATACGAATTTGTGAAATTCGTGAAGTGACACATACAACTAAAGATAAAGGTTTGAAAAGAAAGCCGGAGTGATGAGCTCCACTCTCGCGCGAAGTCGAAGCTCGCGAGCGGAGCCCCATAGCTAAGATATATTTAGTTACCTATCAATCCGAGAAATTTGGTAGTCGCGAGACCCTTACGTCCGTCTGTCCGCACCACAGGGCAAACAATGTGAAATCTCACACTTTTCAGCTAGTGTGGGGCCTGCAACCTTTATTGCAAGTCCAAGTTGTGATGAATTGACAGCTGTCAAAACAGAGCATCCGCTGACCAGAATCAAATGACCGCATCGTGGGCTCAGATGTCAACCCATCGAGGCTATGTCTTTTTTTTTAACTTATCCGCTGGCAAGTTACTGGTTTCTCTTTATAAATTTATTAACAGGGGCTTCGCTTTTACCCTTGGTTAAACCTATATATTAGTCAGGTTAGCTTCCTAATTTGCATAGTAAAACAAGTAGTTCTTTTTATTGTTGTTGTTGTTGTTTAGCCTATCTTACATGTAGCATCCTATATAGAGCGATTTTACCTAACCCGTGAAAAAGGTAGTGCACTTTTTTGAACTAATTCCATTGTCTTCCTTTGTCTCATTTGTGGCTATTTTGCACTTGTTGTTAGTATCTGTTTCACGGGTCAAGTAAAATCACTCTATAAGAAGTAAATTGCTAAGAACTGGCCATACCTGCTTGCTTGATTTCACATTTCTGGTTTGTCAGGTTAGACGCCACATTCAAAATACTCTCCGTTGTTCGCGCTAAGAAAGCAATCATGTCAGGGGTCACTTGACTGATGTCGTCACAGCTCTGATGATAGCACTGTTTCATGAATCCGCGAAAGTCAGCGGTATCTGTAATGAAAACCGCGGGTAACGAAGGATCGGCATTCCAGAACTGAAAATGATCCGAGCGGAAGAAGTCCGCCAAAGTTGTTCGAGGCACTGAAGGCCAGCTCTGTGGTCTACCTCCCAATGGAAGATTTACTGCTAAAGTCTTGAAGGCTGCTGTTAGAAAGAGAGTCAATCATGCGATTAGTCGCACCAATGATCAAAGACTACGGAACAGAAACTGACGACAAAAAGCAGGCCAAATAAAAACGTTTAATGTAAAATAAACCGATGAAGAATGGGTTATAAAATGGCGAGAAGGGAAAAAGAAGGGGGGAAAGCTGGAAAAATAAACCAAAGCAGAACGTCAGGGGCACCCAACGTCAATTTTCGGAAAATATCTGTTCGGAAGACGATTTGAAATCTAGAATTTTCGGAACATTTGTTGTAAAATTTCTTGCTTGCCTGCCTCTCCTACGATTTTCGAACATCTACAAAATGGTATAATATCCCTTTTTTAATGGATTTTTACCCTAAAAAGCTCACCAAGAATTTTCGGGAGCCTTTTTTCTGGCTGAAATTTTCGAAAAGGTAAGTTTTGATCCCTATAATTTTCGCATCACTAGACTTTCAGCTAGGAAATCCGAACAGATGAAAAATTTTTAGGGGGTTAAAATATGCCTACATCTACAGTTTAAATACTAAAATACGTTTAACCATGCTATGTTTAAGTGGTTTTGAACTATATTCTCGTTGGTTTCCTCTGGAACGTCGTTAAGCCTGTGTAATTTTTATTTTGCAATATTCTTATTAAATAAGCATTTGACAAATAAATTTTTCAAATGGAAGGGTTTATAGCAGATCTAATACCTTAAATGAATATTAGTGTCATTAGTATTACCATTCAAGATTAACATTTTTCACTAGTTAGAAACATTTGTACTCATATAGATTTGTTGTTGTTTTTTCCCTTTTTTTTCTGTCCTTTTTCTCGATTCTGTGGTTTTACAAGGTACTTGTAAAAAGGTTACACGGGGATTGAGACGAAAAAACAGTTTGAAATTCAGATCCCTTTTCTTTTGTCTCGATTCTGTGGTTTTGTGTACGTACTGATGTAAAAACGGAACTAAACTTTTAAGTCAGTCTGGAAACAGCCCTTAAATGTTATAAAGGGAACAAGTTTCCGGATTCCCAAGCCCAGGATTCCGGATCCTGGTACTGGATTCAAGTTTCAGTGGAATTCTGGATTCCAATCAAAGGAAACAGTTTTTGGCTGTATTCCGGAATCCAAAGCCCAGGATTCCGGATAAAAAATTTTTCCGTTATGGGCCGAGAAAAATCGTTATGGGCCGAGAAACGCATTTCGCTAATCGATAAATTGTTGAGTCAGCGTTTGGGGCACAGAACAAGGATATCGGTCGTTTTCCAACGACGCGACGGCAACGAGAACGTCGCTTAAAAAGTGAATTTACGTTCTTTTTAGTCTTTACGCTTATTTGTCAAATGTAGGCTGATTTTCAGCCAACAGAACGTCGACGAAAACGCGAAATTAGGCATTTTCACGTCGACGTTTTGAAAAACAGGAAAGAAATGTACAAAAAGCACGTTCTCATTCACCGCGTCGTTGGAACTTTTGCACTTTTTTAATAGCCGCGACTTTGAACAAATTTTTGGGCAAATCGTGTCTTCAAGAGTAAAGGCACTTAGCAATACAGATTTGGTAGCCTCAAGGCATATAAAAAGAGAGAAAGGCTTACTTCCGGTTGACGTGCGTGGCTCAAAAACTTCGCTGCTTGAACTCCCTCCTAGGCGGGATTAGATTACGTCTGCGACGCATGCGCAGGCTACGAGACAAGGGGTGATGGGAAAAGGACGCCTTTACGGGCGTGGTCTTACCATTTCCTTCGAAAGCACTTGTCAGGGAACTTATAAGCTCAACATCATTACGACGACCAATCACAGCCAAGAAGTCTCCTCTGAAAGAATTGTTTGAGATTGTCTCGTATAACTGTGGAAAAGCAGACTGTATACTACTAGGAAGATATTGTGAATGTGGCGTGGTATTATGGTTCAGAATGGTTTCTAAGATAAATGCTCCTTGAAAATTCGCTCCGGTGCTGTTTAAATAACGGCTTAAGTTTTGGACAAAGTAACCACTGCCGCAAAGTCCTCCTGTGCATGGGCAGTTTATTGCCGAACACGACGGTTGATTTTCTTCAAGATCAAAGGCAGCGAACCAAATGGAATAGTCACTTGTACAATTCACCTTGTCTGCAATGTAAGAGGTTACAAAATTATGATTCATTCAATTTTTTCCGTTTCTGTTTGGTTATAATTCGGATTCTCCGGCTAATTAACAATCCGCTAAAAAGCCGGCGCTTTTCGCTACTAGTGGGCTATAACATATAGCCTAGTAGTAGCTCAACCAATCAGAACGCAGCATTGATAATAGATCACTAGTTGGATTTTACTAATTCTTCATATCCAGCTGGCGCTGCTCAACTTTTGCATTAGCCTCACGTCAGTCACTAATATCAATGATGAAATGATTGCAAATAATCCAAGATCAACGTCACGGGAAAACAGCGGCGAGGCAGTTGAGCCGTTTCAGTTAGTGCAGAACTAAGGAATTTAGTGCCATGCGTAGGCAAAAGAGCCAAATTACTGACTATAAAGGAAAGCAAAACACATGTCAACTGCTTTAAATTTTACCTCTATCTGTAAAACATCAGTTTCTATTTTGAACTGACGAGAAACAAAAGTTTTGTAGTATTATGTCTACGTGAAGGCGAGTATCTTAATAACTTGGAATTGAATATTTTAAGTCATCATGAGTAATACAAGAATTACCCAGATCTCGAAAGGTGTTCTGAATCGAGGAGTACGCAAGCCAAAGTGAATAACCCCCTCTCGATCTGCATAATTTTTCATATCACTTTCAGTCTCTTTTAATGATTTAGAGTTACATAAATCAAGGAAAAGCAAGGATACACTAAGGCAAATACAATAGAATTCACTCTCCGTAATGACACTGCAGGTTCTTTGAATAATCGTCCGAACTTCGCCTAAGTTAAGGCCTGTTACATTAGGAAACTCTTCTTGAAGTCTGTATCTGCGCCACTGGTGTTGCAGTCAATCGAGACTAGAGAACTCGGCTTCTCCGGATTAAGAGTCTGAAGCGCTGATCACTTCTGGTTACATGTACCCTTCCTCTAATTGCCCAATGACTGAGTCTTGAATTCTGGATTTAAGACGGAATCCACCAGGAAATTAAATAATTTTAGTTTTTAGTGGACAAAAACCTTGTACCAGAATAATTTAAAGCATATTGAATTCTTTTTAAATACATTTCACGAGCTAGAGAGTCATCTGTAATAACACCAAAGAAAATTTCTTACGGAAGCCCGAGAAAATAAATGTCAAATTTCACAAAATTATATCTTACACATGAAATTTTCCGAATTTTCCTTGTGTTTTCACAATTCTCGTGAAATTTGACATTCTTTTTCTCGGAATCCCTTGAAAACTTTTCTTAAGTGTTATTACCGATGACTAATTACATTTTTAGTCCTTGAAAAAAGTAAAAAAGGAGGCAATATTCTAAAAATTATTCTGGTACAAGGTTTTTGTCCACTGAAAGTTAAAATTGCTTAATTTCCTGGTGGATTCTGGATTCCAGACACAGTGGATTCCGGATTCCAGGTACCGTATTCCGGTTTTCTTGTCAGTGGAACTTGGGGACCGGTCATTATTTATCGCCCTGGGAAGGGAGGGGGGGCGTTTGACTTTTGGGGGGATCACTTGATTTTTATGAGAACAAAAGGGGGGATCATTCGTAACTGAGAACCCAAAAAGGGGACCACTGAAAACTTTGGAAGGATTCAGAGGGGGGATCACTCAAATTTGCTTGGAAAATGAAGACATCGGGTGGGGGGGGGGATCGCGAAAGTCATCAAATATTATTAGGAGGGATCACTTCAGTGAAGTAACATTCAAAGGGGGGATCGGCTAAATCCCCCCCACCCCCAGGCGATAATAATGACCGTTCCCTTGGATTCCGGATTCCATAAGCTGAATTTCAGATTCCACAAGCAAACCTTTCCCGGATTCCTTAATGGGAATAACCTTACATAGGGCGACTCGAGGGTTACAATGATTCTTCATTCCAGTTTAAGGCAAAAAGCGTTGCGTTAGTAATTCAGTTTCACTCACGGTGGCGAACTGTTTGCACTGAAGCAACTAACCTGGGTTGGTGTAAAGCTTAAGAGCCTGCAGTAAAGCGGTCATCCCTGATCCGTTATCATCCACACCAGGAGTTGTGTCAACGGAGTCATAATGAGAACCAATCAGAACAATCTTATCATCACGTGATCCAGTGTACCGACCAGGCAGTTGACCAATGATGTTTATTCCAGGATACTGATGCAAAATGTAAAAATGTAATCATGTCAGACTAGGGGAATTGGGTAAAAAAACAGCCCGAGTTAGTCAAACAAACCGAAAAAACAAGCAAAAAATATGAAGCTGACGAGAACATTCCAAATGATCCAAATAAAAGTCTTGCTACCCTTCCAACTCGTGCGTCGTTTCGACTTATTTTACGATCATCAGGATTTTCGCAGGAAGTTTTTCAACGAAGTGGGGGTATCTATTAATTTTAAAAAAAGACCTTTCTTGCTGTTCCTGGCCCTGTAAAAGTCATGAATTTTAGCAAGTTTTGGTTTCTCACCAACCAAGAAAAAGACTAGGGAAAACTAGATTGTCCTACGCTTCCCGAAGAAAAAGCTCCAAATATTAGCTTCAGTCCACTTCAATTGATCAAAACTAAGCCTGAGCAAAGACCGAAGATTTTCCTTTCTTGAAAACGTCAATTTAGTTCCGAACATTGAGCTATGGCGTCAAGAGGACGAGAAGTGTAACAAAAAAATTTAACCTAGCTATTCCGTCGATGTGCTCTTCTACGGAGTGTACTACTGATTTGACTACCAATGGCCGTTGCTCTTGGCTAAGTAGCCACGCCGCACTTTCAAAATCCCCACGACAGGTAGCCGTGTTCTTCCCGCCACTTCTTTGTAAATGAGCGAGAGCGTTCCCTGGGTACCCCTGCGAATCTGGTTTGTATGGGTTGATTTTTTTCCCCTATCTCTCCCTGGTAGGTTGTTGGGATTCTAGGTGCCCAGTGCTTTTTTACCTCTGCTTTGTTACTTGGAAATTCTTCAGTCCACGTGTTCAGTCCATGATCTTTGAATGTTTTCACGATTAGGTCACGTGCGTTCTTTTTCTCTGCAGGGTTTACCGCGACGTTCCTTGTTTTGGTGAAATGGTTCAGTATGGAGCTCAGCGACTGAGGCAAAGTCATAGACTCGACACAGAACAACACTGGAAGGGAAAGTTAAAAATTTATTTAGTAAAAGCCGAGAAATACAACAACACTGAAAATAACTAAGTTAAGCCTTATTTATTTACACTAATCGAAAGCACTGAATGGATCAAAGAGAAGAGATATTTTACTCAGTGCAATAGCAACGTTAGATTTATTGGGGGTCAGTCACGAGCGCCGAAGGCGCGAGCTGCTAGTGGGGTCGGGGAGCATACTCCCCCAGAAGATTTTGAAATATAGGATCACTGAAATAGCATTTTCAGCCTTCCAGGAGCATTTATTTCCAGCAATTTTTAACTGACTAAAACTCAATGATCGGATTTGTTACTTCAACCGTATACGCTTCTTATGAACAGGTTTATTACTACACGGTTTTCATTCTTCTTTGGAGTTGGCTCGTGATCGGGTTTCACCCATTTAAGAAGTGTACTTTGTTTAATATCCGCTTGATGTTTCTTTTTTGAAGCCATAAATAAATATTTTCACGCTTTATCGAACCGAAATGAACACATGGAACCGAAGAGCAACGTGAAGAGCGTGGCCGCTGACCAAATTAAACGTGCCTGTCAAAATTATTGGGGGGGGGCAGGCCCCCCAGGCTCCTCCCCATGCTAAGGCACTGAATTACTGTTTATTATATTCCTTTGTTCAACACTTTCAACTTTCCCACAGTACCCACATAAGTACAGTGAAACCTCTAAGCGGACCAAGCAGACACTAAGCCGGGTCCCGAAATTAACGTCTTATATTAACCTTTATAACTAACCCCTATTCAGCGGACACCACTACTAAGCGGACGCGGACACTAAAATAAATTGTATTTGACTAATTCCTATTGTTAAAAACCTCCATCTATCAAGCTGTGCTGTACTTTAGGTGAACTTTTGACAGCTAATTGTATTGATTTATCTTTATTAATCTACTACAACAGTACGTTTTTCAAGCAGGTAATCCAATGCTACTCAGATTACCTCCTTGAAATACGTACTTTTGTAGTCGATTAATAAAGATAAATCAATACAATTAGCTGTCAAAAGTACACCTAAAAGTCTTGCACAAAGTAGACAAGTAGACAATACATAAATCCATGAAGAGAACATTTCAGTGTGAGTATTATCAATGTTTTACATTCAAAAGATGCGATAAATTTAAACTAAAATGTACTGGTTATGGAGATATGTATAGTGCGCATTATTTTGGAAAATTAGCATAACGTCAAAGCAGTGAATGTTGTAACGCAGATTTTTGACCGGTTCGTATCATAGGTTTTTCTTGAAATTTTAAGGCGTTGCAGTGAATCAATCTTAATGAAAGTTTCAGACACTTTTATATACATTATTAAGATTATGTGAAGAGATTTTAAAAAAATTCGTTCGAGTAGTTTCGGAGATATATAAGAAAGCGCTAAAAGTCCAAATTCTGAACGAAGTTGCACTTATACAGGTGGTGAGAAAACAGATTAGTTTTCAAGTTCGCAAGAACGAAAGTACACCAAAATTTCTTAGCATCAAAATATGATATTAAGCAGCATTCTGACGCTACTTAAGAATAATTTGAGTTATTTATAACGTTTTTATTACATAATCTATCATGGCTATTGAAAATTTAAGGTTTGAAATATATTTTCGTTTTAGTCGAATTCAAACATACAGAATTTTTTACTTCTTACGGAGATTGTTTGCTAAAAACCAAACTTTAAGTTCTCAGTATTGGATTTTCAGTAACAGGTCTAGATCACTCAAATTTCGTCTTTTATTGTTTATTGTTGTTATAGTAACATCGATTTTACTTAAAACTACTTTTTCACAAATTTCAATCCATAACCAACAACTGGTGAAAATTTTATAGCGATCGGACAAGGAAAAAAACAGTTTTAAGGCGATTGAAAAATATCGGTATGGCCTCTGAAAAACTTGATCGAAACACCTTAAACCTTTATATAGAGAGAAAACCGTTAAAATAAAAACCCATAAGACGGCCATAACTCGGCCCGTGGATCACACAGGAGAGACGTAACACACATTTTAAATAAGGTAAACTGTTTTTTATTGAAATCCTTTCATTTTCTTTGGTTACAGAAACGATACGTTTTTTCTCCCATACAAATTCTTATATTTTGAATGTTACGCAACAATGCCGATGATCGCCGATGCTCATACTTCGAGCTTGGTCGCCCTGTGCTTTATCACAGTACAGAGTAACTGCTGAATGTAAAACATCGCACAATTTTTACAAACCTCCGAAAGTGTCCGCTTAATAGAGGTTTCACTGTATCTGTTACTTTTCTTTTCTGTTTCTTTTGATCTCTTTTATCTTAGTTTGTTTTATTTTGCATTTTAATTTGGAGTAAGTCTTGCGTGACTGGGGAACAAAGGCGTGTACTAAGCTAATTTAAATTTGGCCAGCCTATTATTAGGGACGGACCAATAGAAAACTTATGGGGGGGGGGGAGGGCGGGCGAAGTACTAAAAAAATATTCGCGCAAGGGAAAATTAAACGAAAAAAATTCATGCACGCCAATCTGAACCCTAGGAAATATTCATGCTATGGCCTAAAAATATTTCATACAAGGAATTTGATAACAAAAAAAAAAATTCTGCTGCTTCCTGCAGCTCGAAAATTCCCCTCCCCCCCATAACTTTTCTAATGGTCCGTCCCTTACCTAGGCTTGCCATGCACAATAGGGGGGAGCGTTGCGTGACGAGCCTAAAAACGGCTGCGAAGGAGACTATATTAATACCAAACATTGCTCACAATACTGCAGGGACAAGAGAGCGTATAGGCGGGCTGGAAATGGATTTATCTGGCTTAAAATAACCCACTTCCAAGGAGATGGTGGTTATGATGGCCCACTAGGTCTCTCTCAATTGTTTTAAACTAAGGTGTAAGTTGAATACAACAACAACAACTTTATTGACTTTATCTTCGACATGAAGATTTCAGTACCAAAACAATAACAAAAGAAAAAAGTAAAATAAAAATTAAGTGAGAAAGAAAGAAAGGAACAATTGAATGTTATCATAAAAGAAAAAATTACTTGGCTATGTACGGCTTCTACGCTACTCGTATGGTAAGAAAGTTTAATTAGAGTTCCAATGCATAACAATTTAGAATATTTTCAATATGAGAGGCACTGAGATTTAAGATGTTTTGATCGCACATGGACATCAGATATGTAAAAATAGTGCCTTGTTAGACATATTCGTAAAATTACTGTTTATCGAGCTCCAAGAAGATGCCCCTTATATGAGAAAGTGATGAGTGGGTTCATTTCAACAAATAGTGGAATTCATCACCAATTTCGGATCCGATTACAAAGGGGGCAAAGCCTCTCAACTCTGGATATCTCCTTGTAGCGCTCAGATTCAATAGGTAGCAAGCGGCAAGAAATACGCATTTTGGTTACTGCCACTCTCGTCTTAACGTTCTTTATTGAGTCAAGATAAAATGCAAATCCTGACTTCCTTTTTCACTTCACTATACAGACTTAATTTATTGCCAACTGAGGAGTCAAATTTATCCTTGTTCAGACTTTTCGACCAATATTGTTGGTATTCTTTAAACAAATTTCTTTTAAGCATTCTAACCAGGTGAGGAAATGCCCTGTAGTCAAGATGTGGCAGATTTGGGTATAATCATTTAATTTGGTAAAGTGTAATAGGTGTCTTACAGTAGTGAACCATGAATGCTTACCTACATTATTTAATGGATGTTTATGTAAATGCCCAATGCACCATCATATCTATTCAGTTCGTTTTGTATTACTCATAGAGTAAATATATTATCTGAGTTGGGTTTCGGGTGACGCGATATATCACATGGACTTTAATTTCTGTGGCAGACATTATTAAACAGCAGTCAATCACAATTCCTTCGGGCATTGTTCCACACTGCATAAAGTCTAACCTAGTATAGAGATCTGTGCGAAAACCTCTTTCTTATGCTAATGTATTGAGACATGTTTTTGCTTCATTTTTGTAGTTATTCATACTCATAGTTTGTATTCAATGAGGAAAAGTCGAAGCTAGAAGTGTGGCCTGGTTCTTACCTGCTGCAAGGCAGAAGAGCAGAAGCAGAGTTTTGAAAAAAAGCGCCATTTTCCAGATTACGCTAGCAACGAGTGGAGCTTTGATGTCTTCGAACAAATTGAACCAGAGCAAGTCGTGACATCACGCACGATTTATTTGAAAGTGCTGTTCAAGCTCAAAAGTAAACAAAGGCGGCTCAAACTCACGTAATACGAGCTGAAAGGGTGTAAAGATAGGTAACGCTTGATGGACGCGGCGTTGCCGCGTTACACGCGACCATTGAAAATAATAGACTTTGTATGAGAAATAGAATACTGAGATCTGCGATCGAAAAATAGCGTTAAATCTATTTTTTCTTCTAATGAAATGAATAAAGAAGACTTACCTGCGAAGTATTCCACTGCGTAGCCTGCGAAAACATCCGTTCCTCCTCGCTCTTCGCCGCTGGGGATGTTTCGCGCGAAGAGCGAGGAGCGAGTGAACGGATGTTTTCGCAGACCATCCATTGTGTTTTGGTGTCTGCTTGTCGTTTTACTGGTTTTTTGGGCTTTATTTCATAACCACTGTTACCCTCTTCATAAGACGAAGGAAAAATTAGATTTAACGTTATTTTAGGTTTCGCAGATCTCAACCTCCTTCCCAGGGTTCTCTCCTACCCGCTCCGTAGGGCGGGTAGGAGAGAACCCTGGGAATGAGGTTGCGCAGATCTCAGTATTTTATTTCTCATACAAAGTCTCTTATTTTCAACGGTCGCCAGTAACGCGGCACCGCCGCGTCCAGCGCACTTATCTTTACACAGCTTGGGCCGCCTGTGAAGTAACCCAACACTTTGGTGATCCAATACAGTCAATCTCGATACGAAGTGCCCAGGGACTGGTAGCCTGCGTAGCAAGCGTTTCCGTTTGGTTTCGGGGCAAAAAATGACCGTGGAAAGGGATTTTCGGTTTTGACCGCGCGAGAAATGAAACGAAAACCAAAAAATGAAAGAGGGGGAAGGGAGAGGGGAAGGAGGGTTTCCTTCCTTTCTTCCCCACCCCCTCCCCGCTCTTTTACTTGCGCCAATTCTCGAGCGGTCTTTGACTCTTGTTCCTCATTCTTTGCTCCTGAACCGCACAGAAACGCTTGCTACGCAGGCTAAGGGACTGGGGAAATTTGTTCGTTAAATCGAGGGTTCGTTATATCGAACACCTCCATTTAACGACTTTTCGGGAAAACTACCAAAATGTTCGTTATATCGAGGTATAGTTAGTAATTAACTTACAAAACCCAGCATTTCCGGATCTGGAAAATTACTATAATAACATTTCAGTACCAAGTTATACATAGCTACGGCACTATAAACTCAAAACAAGGAAAACAAAACTGCTTTAAACTAGTGTACACTAAAATATTATCCTTGTTCATCTGTTTAGCTCTGTTTGGTATTCATCCTTTATCACAGACGGACATTTATTCGTTATATTGAGGTAAATTTCACGTTTGCACTTGTGGATTGCGTTCTTTATAACGAGTTCGTTAAATCGAGGTTCTGTTCCATACATTTTACTGTAATTTTGGCCAGGCTGAACAAAATGATTCGTTATATCGAGGACTTCGTTATATAGAGGTTCGTTAAATCGAGTTCCACTGTACCATAAAGACATCACTGTGTCTACTTATTTTCTGCAAATAACATACCCGCTTCGCTCCCATTTTCAAATCTTCGGTACAGACTGCTTTAGACTTAATCAAACAATTTCCCTTTTTTATGCTAAACTGAAAAAAAAAGGTTTAGAAAACAGAAAAGAGTTAAATTCTATATTACTCAGCTAATCGCAATCGAGCTCTTTCGCATAGCTGACTGACCGATTGACCGAGCATGACTCGCTCGAGGATAGAGTCTTAAAATTGGAAAAACTTGGATGGACATCTCCAGGAGCCAACATCTCTAGAACAGAAGGATTCAACTATGGCTCTGCATTCAAAAAGAGGCTCATGGCACCTTTTTGGCAGGAGCAGTCTCGTACTGCGTATACGTACCAGAGTCGTACCCAGTCGCTATTTGTGTGTTTTTGGGGTGAGAGAAGATTGGGGGTTAGGTTGAGGCGCGTGAGGTCTCTTGGGAAGGTACGAAGGAAAAATAGCTATTTTTTCTTCGTACCTTCCCATGAGAACCCGCGCACCTCAACCAAACCACCAATCTTCTCTCACCCCGGGAACACATAAATAGCAACTGGGTACGAGTCTGCTGAGGGGGTACGTACAAAAGCAACTCGAAGTAATGTCTGAAATTCAGGCTATTTTACAATGGGTCGACTTCCAGCTTTTCTTAACTAATCACCATGGTCACGCTTACCTCGATTTTTTTCCTCACTTTTTTCGGAGTTGTTGCGAGACTAGTTGCAAGAGACGTTAGCAACTGTAAACAGTCCATGAAAGAAAGATTTTTGGAACTGTTATGGAAATGTTTCAGTAATCGTTGCAAAAAGTAGAAATATATTCCGCCACTTCTTCTCTTGTGAGACACGTTTATTTACCTTTGAGTATACTCAAAAGTAAACAAAGGCGGCTCAAGGTATTTTTTCATAAATTAAAAACCAAATAGGATATTTAAATCTACTGCATATTTGTATCTTTACTGAGCTAAAGATACAACTTAAATTTACGGCGTTGGATCTTATAGCAGGAGACGTGAACACCGATTTGTTTCTATATCTATAACGGAAGACTAGTACACTGTTACCTGCTGTAGCTATCTTGCAATCGATTGCAAGCACTCCTCTCAAACAATCGCAAACAAATCAATGTTAAAGTCACATTTTGTTTAAGTACCCAGTTGTCAGTTATGGTGGTCAGAATTGGTCTTTTAACCCGGTTCCCAGCCAGATTGCGAGTCCGACGCGCTGGTAGTCAGCGTGGCAGGCATTCGAAAGGGAAGGGGAAGGAAATTTGGAAACGTCCCTTTCACGCTTCTCGCGCGCCCGCAATCTTATCCTCACGTGATCCTGGGCGCTTTCCATTTACGAAAAAACCCGGAAATTTCGGTGGTAGCAAAAGTGGAATTTCCGATTGGTAAAAAGTTGTTCCATTTGGTCGTAAACCCCGGTACGTGGCTGGGTGCCCGACCGTGGACCTGGAACTGGTACAAACTACAAGAAACGTAAATGGAACACGACATTCCGTTCGGAAATTCCAACCGGGAAAACGGGACCACCTTTTTAGATTTTCCACTTTTTCTGGGAATTTTCCAGTGGGACGAACCGACGAAACGTGTTCCATTTACCGCCGAACCGGAAATTCCGGAAATTTTGACTAAATGGAAAGCGCCCCCTGTGTACCGACCGGGCAACTAACCAATGATGTATCATGTTCCTGGATACTAATGTGAAACACCAAAATGCAATCAAGTAACTAGTTAAGGGGAATTAGGTAAACAACGTTCATACTAACAACAACGACAACAACAATAACAATTATGAAAGAGGATCATCGATCGCAGTTTCAAACGCAACTTTCGCAGTTGCGATAAGAAAGCCTTAAAAAATTCAGGCTTGTACGGGATTCGAAAACTTTACCTCTGCGATACCAGTGCAGCGCTAGATATGATTTTCATCATCTATTCATAACTTCATCATCATCCGAAGATGAACCGGAAGAAGAGGTAACTTAACATAAGTTGGAGTGCAGAGATGTCCGAGGAAACATAAGTTGAAATTTATTGATGGAAAGAGTTTTCTGTATTTTTTCCATGCAAAGTAGGGGCCTACTTAAGTTCTCGTTTTACCGCTTTAGAAACATTTTTCTGTCCATTTTCAGACCTAGCCAATAAAATCTTTTGTCTTGTTCTCAAGCAAATGTTTAAACAAGGGTTAAAATCTGAAAGATGAAATCTTATGAAACTAAACTCAGCTCCTATATTACTGACCGAATGACCCGTCTAACTACTAACTGAGTTAACCGTAGACTGTCAAAAGAGTCCTTCGTCTGATTTAATACGACTGACTGCTAGAATGGTCGGTAAAAGTAGACAACTGAGAGAAAGACAACTTACTTTCCAGTGGCCAAAGACAGAGTATTAGTCAACCACTATATACATTCCCGATCATTTTTTATAAGTTGTGGCAAGGCATACTCGTAGATAAGACTTGGAAAAAATCTTGCGCAAAAGCCAGCTCATATTCAAACACTGTGTTGTTACGAATTCTTCACTTTTATAGCTGTAGCCTCAGGCACGGTTCCAGGGAATCAATTTCTTTCAAACAGGCGAGCACGTGCGCAACCTCTAGCGAAAGCGCGTGCGAAGTTAAACCAAAACGTTTATTACGCGGCGTACTGTCATCAATGGGTTATTCCAAGCCGACTTACGAACAAGTTAGACGTCTGCTTTGGATCTCAGAGTAATTACATGGTATATCAAAGAATGATTGAGAAGTAAGAAGTATACCTATTGTGGAGACTTATTTTTGAGGTGAGTAAAGGTTTCCTGTCGTCTGTCACTGCAGTTGCGAATCCTCCACTTCTTCATCTTGATCACAGCTTTTTACACTTAAAGGGAATCAATAAATCCACACAGCTCCCAATTAAAAAGAAAAGTATATGGTTTTCCGTTATTGATTGATGGGGACTGAGACACAAAGTGTCAATCAAAGAGGAGCTAACTGGTTGAGAACTTTCAAAGTAGGGAATAAAGAGCGGTTATCTAGAAGTCCATAGAAGATCAACGGCGAAATTAGATTGTGCGGAGGTTTGTGAGCATTAAGGCAAATTTCGTCTGGAACGCAGCTAGTCATTGTGATTTAGCAGTCAAATAAATCTAAAACTGGATAGACTGAACATTTAACGCATGCGCACTATGACGCTTTCTGGTGGCTGGTCTCTTTGGAGTTAGGGGTTTCAGCAAGCGATTAACATAGACATTATTTTCTTTGCCAAGGAAATTAAAAAGAAACCAAGATTTTGTTTGTCATCCATTGAAGGGACGATTATTACGTACTGTTGGATTTCATTCACAAAATATTTTCCTTGTTTCTTTCAGATGACTGAACACTGCAAAACACGGTCTGGTGCCTGTGCGATTATGCTGCTAATTCTCATCTCAGTTGGTTTATGCAATGGACGCCCTTTTTCTCATTTTGAAGACTCCAGTACCGGTAGGTTAAAAGTAATCTTATATATGTACAAAATTCAGAGAATAATGACCGCGCAGTTAACGAAAAGTCCTGTGTTTTAGCGGTGCTCTCGCGCGCGAAGCGCGCCAGCGGAGCACCATGGGTAAGAAAATTTGGTAAACTATCCATCCGAGAAAATTTGGTTATGACGTAGCGTACGCCCGCCCGCCCACCCGTACACACACTTCATGTAAGCCGATGTCAAGTGTCACACTTGTCAGGAGCGAGAAATAAATAACAACGGAGACTAATTTCGTTGGAAGAAAAACATGAAAATTATATAGCGGCGGTTAGAAAACGAGAAATGCTAGCGGCTGCTAATGTGAAAAAGGAGCGGCAGTGAAAAAGCAGATTGAACAGGAACACAAACATTTCCTCCATAAAACGCGTAAATAGGAAGCTAAAAGAAGTTTCATGTTAAAACAACGGTAAGGAAATGTACAAAAAAACAACGTGCAGAGTTGTTGTTTTGCTAATTCGGAAAAAAAAAAAGTGTGCTGCACGTGCAAAGTTGTTTTCTTGCTAATTAGATCTATTGTTGTTGTTTTTACCGTTCTCGATGCTTTCAACTTGTCTTTAGTATTCATCGATTTTATATTTTCTTTGAGGAATCTACAAATATTAATAAGAGCTTCGTTGTAGCCCTGGCTAAATCTATATATTACTCTAGAAAATTTTTACATTGTTGCGCAAATTAAGTAGTAAGCTTTTATTGGTGGAGACAAAAGTACAAAAGTTGAATGTCCCCCCTGTGCACTCCCTTATTTGGCCTTTGCGGGTATGTGCGGCTGAACAGGGTATGGTTTTCAAGGTTTTGAGTCTTAAACAGGATATACAATTTCCCTATTGACCACTCCAGAAATACCATAACATACCATAATGTTCTTTGTTTGTCCCTCCAAAATTTTGCATAAGCATTGTTTTCAGTTTCTCTTGGGGCCATTTTAACTCCCAAGAGAAACTGAAGACAATGCTTTTAAAAATTTGGGGCGACAATCAAAAAAGCATTATGGTATGTTATGGTATTTTCTGGACGCCTTGAACAGGATGAACTGCGGTCTACATTTGCAATACTAATAATTTTTTTCCTAAATATGACAAATAAGAAGAAAAACACAGAAACGCATAAACACGCGCTCACCGTACTGAGGCAAGTGCTTTTTATCATAGGTGCGGCTTCCTCGGTGATTTCAAGTGCTACCACGGTTGCTGCGTCAACCGCTACCAAAAGCAGTAGTATTAATCAATATTGGACCATTATTGTCGTGTTCGGTACTTTTGGCTTTATGCTGTTCGCTGGTATTTTAATTTGGCTAGTGGGAAAGATCTACGCTACCTTTTATGGTTATCCACGACCGGAACCAGTCATCATAGCCACATGCACTGAGCCGGCGGAGCATGAAAGCAGCTGTGACTGTCGAAGGTGCACCGAACAACGAGAAAGGGAGGAAGACAGGAGGCTGATACGAAGTTATGAAGCCCGATGTGAAGAGTTGTGCCGTTTATACAGGGAAATTGGGGATGAAGAGGGGTACCGGAGAACGCGGCAGAGTTTTTTGCAGCACAGGGAGACTTTTAACTTGCCCGAAATTCCAACCAACCGTCCATCATGTGCACACGCCTTTGACGATGTCCGCATTGATGTGACTGAAGCCGAGACAAACACTCAGCAATCCAAGTTTGGTTTCCGTCGCTTATTCCGCTCATGGCTCCCTTCTCGAGAAGAGCGGATGGGAAGACGTGAGCAACTTCTGCGGAAAGCCGGAAAAAAAAGAGCTTGTGAACCACTTTACGAAGACCAAAACGAATCGCAGAACATTACTTTGCCAAGAAAGGAATCACCACCCGTTAGCACGAATATGATTTCATGGTCGTTTTGGATGAATATATATTACCTCATGCAGTTGCCCTTTTTTGGTGTTACTAACCTAGTATACGAGCTTTGGAGAGAGCCAGACGTGGTACGAAGGTATTACATGAACCTGCTGCCCTTCAGCGGAGACATTTGCTGGGAGGAAACGCAAATGGCATCATGGGAGATTTCACGTCAATTATTCTCAGCGTTGCCTTTCTGTGACGTCAGCGATGAGGTGCTACGAGAGTGCGCAGGCTCTTCAGCACCAAAGATCAGTAGTGAAGAGAGACGTCGTCGCAGAAATGCGGCTATGTCAGTGGATGATGTCGAGGCGAATGCTTCGTCTTCCGAGGAACAGTTTTCGGCCTTAGAACAAGCAACAGATTTCGTTCAGTATGCGGATGAAACTGAAAATAAATTTACGGCACCCGACGAGATAACCCGCCTAGACTAAACTTAAAATAAATAGTAGCCTCAAAATCATTTTAGACTGGAAACAGGAAAAAGACACTGAGTAGAAACGAGAATAATATCTTGACAATGACTCAAGTTGAAAACAGGGAGTAACACGAGAGGCTCATAAAAGAAGGTAAGATTCAGCTGCGAAGTCTACTTTGGCCTTATTACGGTCTAAAGTAAATATCGAAAATCCTCAGTCCGGCTGACGATTTTCTATATTTACTTTAGACCGCGTAAGATATATTTCTTGAGGAACTGGCATGCCACTGTATCAGCTCTGGATTCAGATTCTTAGATAACAAAATGTAACTGAGGAACTGAAGGCAAACCTAATTCTTCCGGTTCGTATGTCTATGAGCTTGGCGCTGGGTGAGGGGCGGGGCTGTTCTTACAACAATGTACTCAAAATTGAAAGCAGTTGCAGTTTCGGCTGATGAATGGAAGAAATGGGGGTGGGGTGGGGAGCACTGAGGTTAGCTCAGTCTCATCTAAAGTTCTTAAGGTATATCTAGGAAAGCTAATTCAACTTTTAAAAGTTCATGTGTCTTATGTCGACAAAGTGAGGTTCAGTGAGGATTTGTATTTTCCTTGCTATAGAGTCAGACTTCGATCTTTCCTAAATTCAGTTAATAATTAAAGAGGAAAGATCGCAAATCAATGTTTAGGAAAGATCGAAAAGTGATCTGGGAATGGATACAAGGCAGAGTAATTTGTGTTATGTGTCTAAACAGAATTCTAACCTAAAAGCCCGTGATCCATAGGGGAAAGCTTGAAATAAACCATTTAGAGGAAAACAAGGACGAGAACCAATAATTTATCAACAGAGGGAATATTCTAATGTGATTTTGTAATTATGCAGGCCATCAGAATCTACTTCCGGGTACTAGGAGATACAGGGAACGGGAAGCTGGTGCTGGTGGGTACAGTTAAAATTCAAATTCCTTTTAACCACAATCAGGTACTAAAAGGAGCATTAGCATATTCAAGGACCGCCGAACATTGTTTGTATAAGTGGTTTTGACGTCATCTCCGGTATTGAACCTTCCTCAGTGGGAAGCCTTATTTATTTGCACTGCAATTAGCGTGTCCTATTATTTCTAACCGCATTGACCCTTCTAGTAACATCATTTGGATGATACTTAGAGCTCAGCAGACTTCGGAATGTGTACATGACAAGTGGGCAAGCGTTGACGTCTACTGAGTCTAAGCTAGTCTACGCCTGACCCCGCGAAACTTCTAGCTTATTACAAAATAATTTGACTTTAACGCCGGTAGTCGTCTTAGCCGTATGTCTCTCTGACTCGCTACTGACCTGTTGTGAAACAAAACTGTCAGTTTTGATTCATTTCCCTTTTGATTCGGACACGTGGGAGCTGTTTCAGTCTCCCTGTTTATTTATTTTAGGTTCAGTTTTCCGCAAAGAAACATAATAACGTGACTATGATACAACATACACAACTTGACCTGAACAGCGGAACGTAAGAAATGTAACTTGGTAAGCACTTCCTATTTATGTTGATTCTATTCATTAACTAAGTTAAAGTTTCCTTATAAAAAAAGTTTCCTTATAAGGATGTGGGTTTAATAACTTTTTTAACATTATTGGGATCTCCTGGATCTTTGTGCCGGTAAGGTTTCAGAACTTTTCAATATTGGGATTTGCATCCTTCGACCGGGGGTTTTACCAGTTACTGAAAAAATTCGTCTGGAATTTACGTACAGACCACTTTCATCAGCCGAACATTTCCAAGATGGTGAAGTTCCGTTCCGAATGAGACATGACAGACGTCCATTTTGGCCGTGAATCAGTAAATAAATTTAGTATCTTTCTTGCCAGTTCCAGAACCACCAGTGATACCAAATCGCCTAAATTATATAAGACTATATATATAAATAGAAAATTTTCTTCTCCAAAGATCTAACGAAAAATCCCTGAAAATTCCAGAACGTCATCAACGTAAATAAACCAGTTGTTATTTTAATAGATTAATGATTTAGGCTGGGTATTTCCCTTAGCGTAAGTATCCTATCTGGTTGCCACATCATGAGCCAAACATTACACTTTGACCTTATAGAATTCGTCATAATCTCCGTGTGCTTTCAATTTTAATTTTAGAACACTTTCTGAGGTTTTAAATTAAAAGGCTGAAGAAAGCGCTGATAGTTTAGAAGAAGTCAAGTGTGCTGAATAAGCGAAATTGAAGTCGTTATTCCAATAGAGTTATTACCGATTATCGGATTTTTTTACATCTCTACAGTGGTCAGTACCGAGTTCATAATTGGTGATAAGTTTTGAAAACAAGCGTTAGAAGATCTCAGCTGCCCTCCTTCGATACGGTCGACAAAGCTCGCAAGAATTCATCAACAAGGCTGTGGTATTTTAGGTACTTTACATATTTTAATTTTGTATCATTAGTTTTCTTTTTTGCTAATTATTTCAAGAGCTGTTGTCTCTTCTCCGTGATTGATTCTGGGTACCCCAGTCGGTCGATACAATTTACCACATCATGCAGTTCACCGTATTTTAGTATTCAAAAAAGCAAATTTTTTGAAGTATCCCTCGCCTTTATTCTTTAAAATATTTCATCTGTTCAGGGTTTTTACATAGGCATGAAAGTCTAGTGATCCGAAAATTATAGGGATCAAAACAGCTTTCACCGTATTTTACCTTTTCCCTAAAATTTTCATCTGTTCAGGGTTTCAGCTGAAAAAAAAAATTATAGGGATCAAAACTCCTTTTCGAAAATTCTAGGTGAAAAGACTTTTTGACCTTTTTAGGGTAAAAATCCGTTAAAAATGGGCAATTATACCATTTTTTAGATGTTCGAAAATCCTAGTAGAGGCAGGCAAGCAAGAAATTTTACAACAAATGTTCCGAAAATTCTAGATCTCAAAACGTCTTCCGAACAGATCCGAAAATTGACGTTGGGTGCCCCTGCTTGGGGCGGTTGTGGGTCTCTAAACAATAGTACCTTGATCAAGTAGCCTGCTTAGCAGGTGCTAAGGGATACATGACTCCGTGCGCCCTTTCTTTCTAGGCTATGATCCGGTCCAGGGGCTTCTGCTTGATCCGATTCCCAAGGCAATACAATGTTAATATCGTGAATACTGTTCTGTTTGGCTTTTAACCGAATTTAGACCCTCTGAATCGGCATTAGCCTCCCCGCAGACGTCTTTTTGGGGTTGCGTGACGAATGAACACCACGGGACGTCTGCGGGGAGACTAAATCGCCATCAGATATTGCGATTCTGCAGGTTGCTAATTGTCCATTGTCGGTGAAATTAAAAGGTCATAGAACTGAGTTCTGCTTTCAACTCATGTTTCTTTCTAGAACTATTCGATTACACAAGATTCCCTAACAATAATATTCTGTTCTTTCCATTTATTTTTTCTTTTCAGCTAATTTTCCCTCATGGGTTGCATTGTGGAATTTCTTAAGCGTTGTGTCAGCAAGAAAAAAATCCGGTACACTGAAGACGGATTTGATTTAGATTTGACATGTATCCTTTCTATTTAGCCTATTTTCACACTGACCGGAAAGCTTTTGCTCCGGCACGAACTGCATACCGGATAGGGGTTCTGTTCACATATTTCTGTAACTCAGCGAAGCTGTGCCGCGCCGATCTATAAAGTAGAGAGTCCCATATCGGATAGGTTTTCAGCTTTTAGTGTTGGCGCCGACACAGAAAGTGCCTTTGAATTTCCTTTGAATGCTTTTGAACCCGGAAGATCTCGAAGGCGCGGGGCTCAAATTCTCCCCAGTTTCTCTCTTCACCTAACCATATTAGGAAACATTGCAGCCACTGCTGGAGCTTCGGCATGCGGCAAACATGGCGGATCGCGTTGTAAAATGTGTTTGAATTTTGCTCCAAAACTGTTTAGCACGGGAAGAATTTCGCATACCTACACTTACGATTTTGTAGCGGGGTTATTGTTATTTAAATAACTGGAAATGCAACTTCAGCTGAAGGACTGTTGATTCTTGACGAGCAGGTTTTTGTTGAGTGGTTTTGCAGCAGGCTGATTGATCGATTGTCGAAACATTTCGGGGAGAATGTTTAATTTCAAAGCTCTCGTCAGCAAGAAGAAGAGGCGATTCCAGGAGGAGGGGTTTGATCTAGATTTAACATGTATCCTTGTTTGCGTATTTTATTTCCTTTCGCTGATTTATGTGCCTAAGGTAGCATAAGTTACATAAACAATTGCTGAAGTTTCCAAGAGCTGAAACGATCAAATACGCCTAGTCTTTTCAGTGGTTTTCGCCTATCAAGGTGCGTTGAGACGGATATCAATCGTAGATTTCCTTTTAGAAGTTGTTTGTGGCTTTCGTTGTATCGACATACTTATGGCGCTACACAAAGCTCATCCCTTCTGTAATAACTTTCTTACGCTGAATCGACAATATTCTTATATTTTGGTGTTGTTTTTGTCTGTTTGTGTTTCGTGATTTTGATCATTTATACATCGCTATGTTTTGATTTAATGGTACGTATTCTGAAAACATTGCAATGTTACATTTTCAAAAACTGAAGCCATTTTATTTCGTATGATTGAGGTTACTAGAAGTTCAATTATGCTGTAAATTTTTGTATTTACCTTCCGGTTTCCGTTACGTCAAGAACTGTGATTGTTGAAGCTGGACGATCGATAGAAATCGTTTTAACCACATCAGCAGTAATAATTTTTTTGTGAAGAATGTAGTGGTAGACCCACTTTCGATTGTACTGTTTTGTTTAGTTTCTTGCTCAAACAAGTTTCTGACTTCAAAATAAATTATAGTAAATTAGTGTAACTGTTACAGGTCAAAATTATATTCAGGTGAAAATATTTTCAAGTACAAACGGCAGCAAAAGTAGTTGAGACTTCACCATAAGGGAGTTTTCTGATGCTTTACTGACTTCCAGAGGGGAAAATAAAGCTTTTCCTCCCCCATCCCCCCGTGCAACATTGTGCCGCTGTTAGAGCTACCTATAGAAAGCAATTGAATGAAGGAGAGGGGGAGGGGTGTGGCTTCTTTTGCTCTCCGTAGTTTAACCTATTTCAGTAACAAATCAGTACCAACAACTTTGTGGCCGATTGTAGGTTGATTCTCAATAAATCTTGTTTCCTGGCCCTAATTCATGAATAATTAGGGCTGGGAGACACAGGAAAAGAGAGTCAACCAAGGTTAAAAAATTTCAGCCCGAATTTAATTTGGCCTGACCTGTAACATAACCAAGTGCATAGCCTGAGAAAACAAACAACATTTTGTGATGCCATCACTATTTTCCTCGTGAAAAGACATCTGAGAAACCAGCAGAGAAATTCCATACTGATGAAGCGAGACTACCCAGATCTGGGTAGTGCTACTGATTGGTTAAAACAAATTTCATGAGCGGCACGACTAATAATAGAAGCAATATCCAGATCTAGGTAGTGACGCGTCATCATTATGGAATTTCCAGGGTTGTTTCTCAGATATCATTTTGTAGGGAAACCGTTGGTGGCATCGCAAAATGTCGGCTGTTTTCTACGGCTACTAAGTGTATTGTATACAGGGATGTTAGCAAACACTCAAGAGGTTTGTGTGTGTTTGTGTACGTTCTTTTTGGTGACGTGCAAATATATTTAAAATGTCTATACACCGTATTCACAAATGGCGGACACGGGGGGAAAAAACTGGTGCCTAGTCATGAAAGCAAGGCGTTGGAGGATAAACAAAAATTGCAAATGAAGACTTTCAGTGAACTTGCAGAGTGTTAAGCACGGATTCCACCTAAAATAACTTTGTACAGACTTCTTTTTAGATACAATTACGTGGGAAGTCTTCTGCTTTTAATGTTTGGTATTGTTTGCTGTTTGCCGTCAAAAGGGACGCGTATATCTTCAAGGAAACAGGATGATTTTGTAGGTTTCCGAAGCAACAGAAGCTCGACAAGTGGGTGATGGCCGGAGAAAAGCTGCAAACATGTTGGCCCAAACTTCACACTGAAACCGAATACAAAAGCTAGATCAGTACAATTCTGTAAAACAGAAATAAAAACAGATATTGGTGGCAAGAAAAAGAGAAATAAGCAATGGATATATTGCCTAATTGTCAACGGAAGAGACCTCCATGCGCCATTACACAAAACAGGTCAAGTCGAGAGCGGGAGAAAGATTCATTTACGAGGCTCATTCATTCATGTCAGTGTCATTTTATACATATCTAAGTATATATGTATGTCTGTATTTACAACTTCCTTTGGATCATATTAATTCCGTCGCTTTGGAGTGAATTGTTAGAGGTACGTTTGCAGAGCTTAGCAAAAATCTCATGATTTCTTCGTCATTGCGAAATGATTGAAAATGATTTTATCAAACTCAGAAGCTGTAGTGTGTGAATATTATGGCTTGCTATTTGCCTGGTCTCCTTTAGGGCATTATCTTGGAGAGCTCTTGGTAAAAAAGTGGTATTAAGCTCACATTTTACTAGGTGAAACTTTTAAGGCAATGTTTGGGTCAGGACTGAACACGGCAAGCTTCTGTTTCGAATCATTAAATTCAAGTCTGGATCCGTTTATTTATATATGTATTCTTCACTTTTAAAATATTATGGAACATAAAGTTAAAACTCTTAACACCCAAAGATAAGAAAAACGAAAATTACTTCCTGAAATGATATGTGGCCAGCTTACCGAGTCCGGCTGCCGAGTAACAAGTTGAAATTTTGAGCGTACTCCACTCGATCGATCCTGCGTTTATACTAAAAAAGTAATTCTAATTGATGTCCTTCATCGAAAAAGACCAGAGAATAACGTCCTGGCAAACAAAAACCAAGCATAACTTCATTGAAACCTCAGTCACTGCTTCTTTCTTGTCTTCCTTTATTCCATCTCGACTTGAACTGCTTGTTCAACGGCAGACGTCTCTTGCGTTAACAAGTAGGCCGTATATCCGTCACCTATTTCTTTTTTTCTTGCCACCAAGATTTGTTTATTTTTTTGTTTTGCCGAATTGCAGTGAGCTGGCTTTCATACTCGGTTTCAATGTGAAGTATGGGCCAACATGTTTGCCACTTTTCTCCAGCCATCCCCCACTTGTCGAGCTTCTGATGCCTCGGAAACCTACAAAATCATCTTGTTTCCTTGAAGATATACGCGTCCCTTTTGATACCAATACCAAACATTAAAAGCAGAAGACATCCCACGTAATTGTATCTAAAAAGAAGTCCGTACAAAGTTATTTTAGGTGGAATCCGTGTTAAACACTCGGCAAGTTCACTGAAAGTCTTCATTTGCAATTTTTGTTTATCCTCCAACGCCTCACTTTCATGACTAGGCACCAGTTTTTTCCCGTTTGTCTGCCATTTATGAATACAGTGTATGGCATTAGTGTTTGTGGTGTAGGTTGTTCGGTTTATGTTAAATGTATTCTTGTTAGGGACATGCAAGAATAATAATGCCTACAGTATGAGTGTTTGTGAGAGTCCATTTTTAACAAAAACTCACCATTAAAAATTTCTATTGATATTTTAGCATTAAAGATTTGGCCAATCTGTGAATAACATAATAATATACAGGGCAAAAAAAAAAATCCTGTCCAGTGATCTGGGACGAGTAGTTTTTTTCTTGCTGGGCACTTGCCTAATTGGCAATGATCCAGGCAAGGTGTCCTCCAACTAAATCATTAGCTGAGAAAAGTAGGTGCGCCAGGCAAGCAAAATATAAGAGATGCTTGCCCAGATGACTTGTTGGAATTTAATTTTTATAAATCCTGCATGAACAAGAAATCTAGTCAGTAATCCATTTTTTATCCTTCGTGGTCTTTTCTCTGGAAATACATGTATGTCTGAACTATTTTATGTTTGCTAACCTTGATCAGGTGTTGTTCTTCTTTTGTGGGGTGCAGAGGGTGGGGGGGGGTGCAAAAAAAAATCTGCAATTGAAATCTACAATTGCCTTTCAAAGATTAGGGAAGAAGGACCACCTGATCACAGGTCATACATTATTTTGCAGCCTGCTAACACCTTGTGATAAAGACAGACATTTTTATTAACAATCATGTATTAAATTAAGTCTGAGTGAAGTGCTGGTAAGGCAATTACCTTGTGCTTTCACTGTCAAAAGCATTTGGTTGGTTACCAGGCTGTTATTTAACAGGTGTTTCAGAAAGAAAGATTTGTCACATTTCTTTAACTTGTCTGCAAAGATATTAAACCCAACATAGTGGCAATGGGATTCCCCTCTGAAAATTTGGAGGGAGTCTACAGAAATCACATTGAGGAAGTTGTAAGGTACCACTCATTTAATATAACATGTTGTTGTTAAGGAAAAGTCATAACTAGAGGTACTGCTTAATTTTGTACCTTGGCCCTGTGCATGTGGTCTTGTATGAGGGGTGGGGGGCAGCCCACAACTAGGTCCCCATATCCCAACCCCTAGATCTGCCACTGCAGGTTGCTTAAGTCATGGAACTAGGACCTTAAGGTTACAGAAGATGTACGTGTGCAAAGGGCTTTAAATTTGTGTTGGTAATGTTACTGGTTACAAACTGTATAATACACAAGTGTGTTTTTCTTTTGACAGATTTCTAGACACAAGGCATCCCGATCACTACAAAGTTTACAACTTGTGAGTAATTAATAATGATTTTTAATGAATAGTTATTTTAATTCTGTTAATATTTTTTCATATATTTTCTTGTGCACATACTCAGGTGCTCAGAAAGGCATTATGATCCATCCAAGTTTAATAACAGAGGTAAGACTTAACAGAATGTTCACTTGCTGGTTTTGCTGAGCAGTACCATTAAATTAGCCACTTTCAGATGTTCTGATAGTGGAGGGCAGTCAAAGAGTAGAGTGAGTAAAGACGAAGGGATTACATGTAGTCCCTAGTCGTTTTTCTCCCACTGGCTCCATTCTTTGCCCATGCTCCACTAACTGAATGCCTGAATCAGGCTATCATTAAGTAGGTATGGGTTTGAAGATCACTTTGGATAAAGCTTGATGCAATTCCAGAATACCAGATTCTTCTTGTACTTGCTGAAAAAGCACTGTTGTTTTGTTTTTGTTTTTATCTATAGTGTGCACATGATGTTGTGTCAGCACTGCATGCTTGTGAACAATATATTATCTTTCTGTTCAAAAATAAACTCTAGTTTTGGCCAAAGAAAAAAAATAGATCATCTTTCTGTTCGAAAATAAACTCTAGTTTTAGCCCAAAAAACAAAATTTTATTGTATTGTATCAACCATCAATGTCGCTGCCTTGTCAAGGATCGAAAACCAAGAATAGCGCTTAAATCGTGTTGGTAGCCCTCACTTTTCTGACTAGGTAATCATTAAATTTGGTTGTTCTCAGTGAGTGTCATTTTCATTATATTGTTGTTAAGCAAAAAACAAAAATCAAATTGTTGCGATTAGGGTAGAGCTGGAAAAAAAGTTGAATTCCAGTTTGTCGTTTGAGCCAAGCAGCTCTCATATTTTGCTTGCCCGGGGCCACCTCTTGCTCATGGTAATTTAAGATGTTGTCTTCCTTGAACCCTTTGCCTGTTGGGCAAGTAAGCCGTAAAAGTTACTTGCCCAGCAAGAAAATCCATGTGTCCCAGGTTACTGGGCAGGACTTTTTTTAGTGTCCTGAGTTAGTGGGAAAGCTTGTTATATAAAAAGGAATGTTAAATTTTGACTGTTCGGAAGGAGGGCTTAATAGAGATAGGGCACTTAAAAGAGATGTGGGGGAGTTTATTAAACTTATGCCATTAAATATTGTAGCTGAATCTCTTTTTCTCTTTCTACAGTTGCTACCTATCCATTTGATGATCACAATGCACCACCATTTGAGTTGATAAAACCATTCTGTGATGATGTTGATAAATTTCTGAAGGAAGATGAGAAAAATGTGGCTTTTATTCATTGTAAAGCTGGCAAGGTACCTTGTATTTCATTTTTATTTTTTTGGGAACCAACCCTGGACTTTAAGCTACGTGGCTCGGTAAAAAAATAAAAGAGTCCTTATTTTGTATTGGTAGCTTGAAATAGTCAACTGACTAACAAACCTGTGACAGACGGTGCACTTATTTTATCCTCCCCCCCTCCTTCTCCCACCCTCTCTGTCTCCATCAGTGCTCCATTTTATGGTATTTAAAGCTACATGGTACTTAAAAGTTATACAGAAAGGAAAGAAGTCAAAAGAAGGATTTAAAGTTTCACCTGCGAATCAAATTTGCGACCTCCTGGACAGAAGGCCATGTTCTAACCAACTGCGCTGATCCTTCCGTTAGTGGGTATTATATTAATTTATTAGTCATTTCTAACAAAGCAGGGAGAATGGCCAGGGAGCAAAAAATGCTAGTGATAATTGCTGAAAATACTATTTATCTCATAAGGAGAAGAGTAAATTCATACAGCCCCCTGCCAATCCAGATTGAAAGTGGGAAACTGTGTGCTGAGTCCGTATTGTTTTCATTTTAACTCAGCATGAGTTGCATTTGGTCAGTAAAAATTTGTAACAGTTGCAATTAATATTTGTTGTTACTTGACAGGGGCGGACTGGGGTGATGATATGCTCTTACTTGCTTCATAATGACCACTTTAAAGAAAGCAAAGATGCCTTGAAGTACTATGGTGATGCAAGAACAAGAAATGCAAAGGGTGTTACCATTCCCAGTCAGAGAAGATATGTGTTGTACTACAATCATCTGTTAAGACACGGCTTGACGTACACGCGGACAATGGTGCTCGTCAAGGGATTTCAAATGTGGCCTACTCCTACCCTGCAAAACTCCACCTGCAGTAAGCAAATTGTGCTCTTAAATTTGAACCCCTTCTAATGGCCACCTCTCTACAATGGCAACAGCTAGTCCATGAACATTTCCCAGATGGCAATTAAAACACAAACTTTAAATGAAGATGATGTGAACTGTGGAAATACAAATCTAAATGAAGATGTGGCCATTGTAATGGTTACTGCAATTTACGCAACTGCAAATTAAGCCTAAAAAATTGCTATGAAGACCCATACGTTAGGAGCATGCCAATTTTGTCAGTTTCATCTTAACCTGTGAAAGGAATGAAACATAGAATGAAGATGATGGGAACTGGTGGAATACAAATCTACATGTGTGACCATAACCATCTCCATTCTACAGTATGTTCCGTTCCTTTCATGAGTAAGATGAACATTAACTCAACAAATTGGTCTGCTCACAATGTATGCAATCTTGGACAAAATGTTAAGACAAATGGGTGTTACCTTGTCTTGTTTCAAGATAAAGCTCTAGAAAGCACTGGCAACTACAAATGCTCCTCTTCCTCTCCTCCCTCACCAAAAAAACGATGTTGAACTCCAGCTTGATCTTTTCTGACCCCAACTAATCAGCTGTGATCAGGGTGGGGGGAGGGGAGGGGCCATAGTGGTACCAAATCCACGGGATATGCATTCTGTGGGAAGGAAAGTACAAAATTCTTAACCCCGTTTTTCCAAGATTGTGGGTCTTCATACAGCTGTAGCTCAGTAGGTTGAGCACTGCAGTGCTAATGGCCATGGGTTTTAATCCTGTTGAAGCCTTGACATTTTTTGTCCTTAATCTGCAATAAAAAAATTGCAATTACCTCTGCAATGGTCACTGCGATAGTCTTTATTTTGAAAATATAATCTCTCCACAATGACCATTAAGAAGCAAACAATGTTCCTTTGCTCTTAATTATTATCATTCTGAACCTTTTGATTACACTGTATGTCGCATTGATGTGCTGTCATAAGCACATTACTGAGCAATATTATAATATTTTATTAATTTCAGGGTGCAAAGAAAGTCATTTTTACAGCTTGCCATTCGGGCATGCTGAAGCTAGCAATTACTAGCCCAGATGTCATTTCAACTAGCCCCAGACGCTTTTTGATGAGTAGAATTGATTTCATAGTTCTTCTGTTCTTCGAACTGCTCAAAAAACCTCACTTGCCCATCGGGCAAGTTAACAACAGAATTCACTAGCCCGATAGCAAAATCCACTAGCCCCGGGCTATCGGACACTACTTTCTTTGCACGCTGAAATTAATAATTATTTTTTATTTATTTTTGAGAGCATTGCCCAGGTTAATGTTGGTCATTTTCTTTGTCAGATCCATTCTATATAATCTGGCAACAGAAAGTAAAGTTATACCAGTCTAAAGTAACTGAGGTAATGTGTTTCATTGTTGTTGTTACTGTTGTCATGCTAGCACCCTCCAACCCAGATGTCAGTGAGAAAGTTTTCTAACTGTAGGGCCATAACTGATTTTTGCTTTTAGAAAGGACATACTATTATATCCAGCTTTCTTAAGTAGGAAGAATATGATTGTCCATGTGAGAAGAAAGCGTGGCTGAGTGGTTAGAGCACTGGATTTGCAAAGAGATTGTAAAATAATAGCCAACTGCTTTGCCTCTGGTCAGTTGGCATTCTTACCCTTTGTTATGTTTACAGTTAGACGCCATTAATACAGACACTTAAGGGGCCATAGAAAGTTTCCGTAAAATATTAAGTGGGTTGAAAATGCAAACTCTTTTTTTCCCCAGTGACAAAGCAAACTGTCTCTAATAATGAGGTGTCCGTATTAAGCGCGTGTCCAAGAAGCGGGATTTGACTGTATTTTCAAATGTTTTTTCTTTCCTTATTTGTGGGTTGCTGTAAATACTACTGGATGACCAGTATTACCCCTATAAAGTCCTTTTTATTATAATTTTCATTCTGAAGTCATGAATAGTGCTGTTGTTGACAGTGACTGACTACACTCGCCCAGATGATCATACTCCAGCTACTCACACATATGAGTAATCTAGCTGTTGTTTTAATATAAAAATGCAGGCTTCTTCACGCATAAGTACATGTTTGTGTTTTGAAACAGGCCAAGAAAACCTCTACGGGATTTACCTTTGAAGTAACCCAACCAATTCCCATTTGTGGTGATATCAGAGTGGAATTCTTCCATAAAGACATGTTCAAAAAGGTGAGATACTGGCAAAGTGCTGTGATGGCTACTGATACTGTGTAATTTACATTAAACAATATTATTGGATGAGGTTGAGCATGATATCATGAATTATCAAAACCGAGGTCTGTGTTATCTGCCGAAGCCGAAGGCTGAGGCAGATAATACAGACACGAGGTTTTGATAATTCATGATATCATGCGAAAACCGAATTCAATAATTGTTTTATTACACGTTTTTTAAACAATAGGCAAAAGAAGACATTCATCTGTTGAAAAATGGCTTTATTTCATAACTAAGATGAAAGTGACACTGATAAGCTTAACCAAGATCATTTGAAAATTTTAAAATACAATAATAAAACCTTTGTCTGAATAAAGTATACATTGAAATAGAAAAATCCTGAATGGAAAATCTTTACAAACATTAATTGAAAATAATTCATCCTCAGAAACAGAAGCGAAGCGTTCAGCCATTCTGTTTCTGAGGAGAACACTCCGAGGGGCTTGGTAACCAGGCAGACGGTGAACTTGACATGATAAATGCAATATCTGCAGCAGATATTGCATTTATCATGTCAAGTTCACAAGCTATTGTGAATTGATTGAATGCTCTCGACCAATCAGATTTTTCATAGTGAGTCTGATGTATAATAATGTAAATTAAATGACAGTTAATTAATCTGTCAGAAAAAATTCTGAATAATTTAGCACATGCTTTTTACTCAAGGGCCAAGTATGGTTGTGATGGGTTTTACTGATTTTTAGAGTCAACATGGAAAGTATGATTACAGGTCTCTTTAATTTATGTTAATACATGTACCAGGGCTCGACGTTGTGACCTGTGGGGTCGCCAATGCGACCAGCTTTTACGCAGTGGCGACTAAATTTTCACGCCTGGTCACCAACCTGGCCCCCAAGATAGGTGACTTTCTTCTTTGGGAAAACATACACTAATCAGGGCTTCTGATATTTTGCGGAAAAAAGAGCAAAATTTCGCGGGATTTTCACGGGCAAATTCGCGGAAAAATCGGCCAATTTCACGGGGGAGAAAAGTCAAAATTCACAGAAAAATCGGCGGATTTCGCGGGATTTTAACGGGAGAAAAGTCAAAAATCGCAGAAAAATCGGCCGATTTCGCGGGATTTTAGCGGAGCAAAGTCAAATTTCGAAGGATTTTCAGGGGCAAATTGTTAGAAAAATCGGCCGATCTCACTGGAAATTTCGTGGGAAACTTCGTCAAGAAACAATCGGTAAAAAACAGCCGATTTCGTTGGATTTTTTTTGGCAAATTTCGCTAAAGTCGATCAATTTTGCGTCGATATGACCAGCGTTGTTTAACGTTTTTTTAACAGGGATAATCATGTGCTCTTTCAACAACAGTTCGCTCGAGAAATGAGCGAATGCTAAAGCTATTAACATTATGGTTAGTGCCCAGTTTTTCGCAATGTTCATTGAAGACGCCTGGTAGTTTTGGGACGTTGTTTACTCGTTGCAGTGACAAAGTTTCAAGATAAATTTGGACGTTTGGGGTGAATAAAACAGGTCTAATAGCCAAGATAAGTATTAGATATGTTTTGCCAACATGTATTTGGAAATATTTCTTGCGGATTTCGTGGTATTTCGCGTTTTTGGGGGAATTTTCACGGATTTCGCGGAAATACCTGAATTTCGCGGGTCCGCGACCGCGCGAAATATCAGAAGCCCTGACTAATGATAATTTGTTATCCTTTACAAAACTAATGGATAGTTAACAGTTTTTCTAATGCTCTAACCTTTTGCTCAGACGCTTTAACGGTTTGTTTAAATGTTTTAACGATTTGTCTAAATGCTTTAATGACTTCTTCCAACACTATAACAGATTGTTCTTATGACCTAACAGCTGGTCCGTCGAACATTTGACTTTTACTTGAAAGAGGATTGTGAAAATCACAAGTGATGAATTCGACGGAAGTCTTATCGACTTTCGGGCAAATCGATCACAATTCTCAACAGGCCGTCCCATGTTTCTCCAGGAATGACTTTTAGCGCATCAATTTAAAACAGTTTCTTTGTGTCGAACATGTATCTCAATTTGCGGACTCAATGGCAGATTGGTCTGATAAACGTTTAAGGTAATCAAGAACGAACAAGGCTTATTTCTCGAGCTTCTTGTAAACAACTTGTCTAACAGACTTCTCGCAAAATCAACTTCTTTGCCTGAAAACATTAGCAACGTTTCCTCTTTCTGGAGACTTTGAATCACGTCCTACCCAACCACGAAATAGACCAAGTTTCACCGATGTTCATTTCTGAACATGCAAATACATGGGGCGCAAAACAAATTTTGCAGATTTTGTTCTTTAATAACCCAAATAAGTTTCTTTTTGATTCCTAAGGTTTGTTTATCTAAATGTGTATTCCACTGCTTGAATACCTGTTTGAGGAGACTTACACTTGAGTACGGGCTCATTTTCCCGAACACCGGCTGGTAATTGAGCCTTGAGCGAAAACCGTTTGAAAGAAAGTTCAAAGGAAGTCTAAAGCATTATTTTTCTGTTAAGGCTAAGTAAAAGATGTTAAGTTTAATGTATTTCATTAGTTTTTAAATATAATTTTTGGTGACTAGAAGACTTCTTCTGGTGACCAAAAATGAAAACTCGGGGGCCAGCTGGCCCCAACATTTTTTTCTGAAAGTCGAGCACCGACTCAATCTAACATGTATTGTTTTTCTTCAATACAGGAGAGAATGTTTCAGTTCTGGTTTAATACGTTCTTTGTAAGTCAAGCTGCAGTCACAGGAGAAATCTATGAAGATGAACCAACGCTTAAGACATTTGAGATTGATTCTGATTTACGTTACTTCGATGTTGGAAAACCAGAGCTTGACAAAGCACACAAAGATGACAGAGAAAAAATATATCCTTCAAACTTTACAGTAAGTGCAAGGCCCGAAGTTTTTGCCCGGTCATGTCTCGTCACTGACCAGTCAAAATATTGGGGGAAAAGTTAATTACCGTATTTATTCGAATAAGCGCCCAACCTTGAATTAGCGCCCACTTCGAATAAGCGCCCATCCTAAAGGCAAAAAAGTTAATAAGCGCCCACCCCCTCCTCCTCCCAATCAAACTCAAATAAGCACTCACCCCCATCCCACCCACTTGAGTGAATAAATTCTAATAAGAGACTTCCCAGAGGACGGAGTTTTCTTCAGAGTATTTTACGGAAACTTTGCTTTGTTACTTCTTGGCGTTTTGTTATTAGCATTTATTGTTTTGTTGCAAAATAAACATACTTCACTTGCTGAAAATGGTGAAAATTTAATAAGCGCCCAGCCTCGAATAACCGCCCACCTTGAATAAGCGCCCACTCTCAAGGTCCAAAAATTTAATAAGCGCCCAGGGCGGTTAATCGAATAAATACGGTAATCTTTGTGTAATATTTTTTGTCTGTTGACCATCTGTTATTTTGAGCCCTGAAGTGGTTTACGGTCGTTCTTTGCTTACTGCTGTTATGTTTTGTTATGTAAGTGTCATGGTTATTAGCTGTTAAATGTTAAAGAGTTATGAGAAGGTTGGACTAGCTATGCAGAAGGCCTGCTTGGTTTAAGTCCCCTGCTGACAACTATAAGCTGGAGCTGTATTTCAGTAGTCCAAGTTCAACTTTTGAACCACCCTTGAAAATGTCCAACTAGTTTGCTTTCAGCTTTGAGATTTTAACCATTTTATACAGTCAAACCTTGTTAATATGGAGGCTGAGGGGACCATAGAAAGTGTCCATATTAACAGGGTGTCCATATTAAGCAGGTGATGTTAAAGGGGCTGTGTCACGGCAGTCCAGTTCATTTTGTTTAATTTTGCCAATTACTCGCCCTCAATCGCTATGGAACTTAAAGTAAGCAAAGAAATTACATGTAAACGACAAAATCAGAGATCCGAGACAAACAAATATGTCTCCTGAGCATTATTTTTGAAGTCGCAAGCAGCAGGGATCAACTTTGAAAAACTGTTAGGCTGAACAGTTTTCAAAAACCCTAATTTCAATCCGTTTCAATCTTCTTCAGTTTTGCCCATCTGTGGCATCTGTTGTTTCTGTCATGTGATTTTAACCTTCCTTTAAAGTTTTAAGCAGTTATTTTTATGTTTCTCTTAATTTAACAGGCATTTTGTAATTTCCTAATTTGGCTGTATTTCGTGATACAACTCCTTTAAAAGTAAAAACTAGACCCTATTTTGAACAAAATACTAAAGAAATAAAACAGGACATATTGAAATAGCCAAATTAAACATCTCTGACCTTCACAAAACCATCACTGGCAGACCATGTCTATGGGAACACTCACAAGTTGCTCATTATATATTGCTTAATCAAAAATCGTTCTGTGCAGAACTCCAAAATAGTCTAAAATTTATTTCCACAGTTCCTCCTAGAAGGGGTACTGCAGGGGGTAACCCTGCAATGGACTAGCATCCCGTCCAGCGGGGAGTAGCAATACTTCTAGGTGCTTCATGCTGGTGAAACTGGGATAAGCTCCAGCCGTTTGAGCCTTTAGCTTGTGTACGCCTTTACCTTATGTGAAGATATTTGGCTCATTGTAATCAAAACCTACAATTCTGACCAAAAGGTTTTGGGACACCTCCCCTTTTTCACTTGGTTTTGTATGGAACTCACAGCTAACTGGTGATACACACTCATAAAACAGCCTTAACAAGATTTTCTGCCCACCGCCACTAAACAAAGTTGAGGTCCTTGAAGTGTACAAGATGTGGAAAAGGTTTTTGACTTGTAACACCCAACACTGTTCCGGGGGGGGGGGGTTCAACTTAAATTATATTTTCCTCACCTAAAAGACAGTGTCCCAAATGTTTTGACCAGGATTGTAGAGCTGCCAGCCCTCTCATGGTACTTCCCTGAGATCGGTAAGCAAGGAACTAGCGGTACATGTTGTAGTAGTGATGGACAAGGTCTAGAGATTTCACAGCATTGCTTTTTTTATGCTAGCATGAGTTTGCTTTTTCAGATCCGTGTCTTATACTCCGAAGTTGGATTGGAGGCTCCTTCAAGTGCATCTTTGCCGAGAAAGCCAGCAAAAAAAACAGGAACTAAACACAGGAAGAGTCGTTCCATGGATTCATTTGATAGCATAATTAACAATTCAGGAGAGTATGAAGAAGACAATTTTTCAGACACTGACAATGAGGAAGAATGGCAAAAAGAGGCTCAACAAAGCAATCAAAAAGACTGGGAAAAAGAAACTCATCAGAGCAATGCAAATGAATGGCAAAATGAAGCTCAACAGTCAACGTATGTTTAAGACAAAAAAATGCACAATTTAAACTGCCACTATTGCAGCATCACTTGGAAATGACATTTGAACTCCTTGCAAGATAGTCTCATTATTATGCTTAAAGGAACTATGTGACTCTTTGAGGATCTTGAGGATGTCATTAAGGGTGGTGCATGCTTTACTTGTTAGATTAGTTATTTTTATAGTTAACACAAAAATGAGAATTTTTTTACATTTAAGCTAGGCTGGGTTATCATCACTTATTGTTATAAAAATAATTATGTCTGTTGTGTGTTGTTTCAGAAAATGGCCATACAAAGATGTTTTGACTTGTAAGGACTTACCTCCCAATCCTTAATATGAAATTCCAGTTTGGTTATATCAAGCTTTGATATCTGCATCGCATGTTACTACTAGTGAGAATATTGCCTGTGTTCCATGTGAGGGACAAGGTCATTTCCTGAAACCTTGCATTCAGATACTGTGACATTTGCATAAACAAATTCAAAATGTAAATAAACATATATTAATTAGAATACAAGCAGAGATGTAAACTATTCATCAGTGCACAGACCCTCATAAGAAGCTAATAGTTAGCTTGTTAATAAAATTGCCAGCTAAATGAGACAAATACTAGAACTTTTCTCTGAACAAAATGTATTATGATTAAGCCAGCATAGGCTAATAAGTCTACTAAAGTTGAGGCTAAATTGCAGTTTGCAAGACAGCATGGTCCAGGATTTTTAGGGAGCTGTTGTACATTTATAATTTTCAGCTGTAATTGATAGTTCACAAAAAGTAGCAGAATTTGTGGATCCCCATATCTTACAAAGTTGTTTCTAGAAAAATAGTGATGCATGGCCTCTATTATGATGGTCCGTGTTAATGACATGGAAAAGAAAGAGTATAACAGTTCTTACATTTCTATCCTGAAAGGATAAGATATTATTTTGCTCAGAAATGAAGAGTAGAGGTGAAGTCACAACTGTTAGTCACGGAAGAAGGTGATGAGTTTGTTTGGCTACATACTAAAATTACTTCTTCTTTCTATGGCATTTTTGCAACGCACACAACGGCCTAAAAGCCAATAGGTAGAAAAAAATTATAAAATGTGCTCTACAATTAATTTCTCTGGCCTATTGCTGGAGAAAGGTTTCTCACACACCACTTTTGCCGAGCTGTGCTATCTGAGACTTACTCAGGCAGTGACTTAGATGAAGGTTTGTTTTTATGTTTTAAAACTCGCTGGATTCAATCCATAATTATTTGACTTTGCTGGCATTGCAAAAAATTTCAAGCTGTCCAAGTGAGTTGATTTCCAAAATGCTGCTTTCTCATGATCAACCAAATGTCTTATTCGTCCCTCTCTGCCTATTTCTGTTTGTCATTATAATATTTAACTGTTACTTTTAACTTCTTACTTTAACATATTTACACACCCTTCATGTTGAATGTAGAAATGGATGACAAATAGAAAACAGAGATTGTAGATGATTATAGTTGAATAAAAATAGCAGACATTATTAAAGTCTGGTTTAAGAATCCTTGCATTGATAAAAAAAGACTGCAGGAGTTTGATGTTCATGTTTCCTACAGAACCTTACACTCTAAGACATATCCAGATTTTTTAAAGCTTATCATTGTTCATTACTGTCTTGTTAGTGGACCATTGAGTGATCCAGTAATCTTGAAACATTTACCGTACAAGCAGAGGTTGCCCTCTGGCGTGGCTTTTAGTGTTTGAAAAGTCATTCGCGTGACTGACAAGTGACACAAACGAATTTGTAAATGCTAAAAGCCTTGCTGGAAAGAGACCTCTGCTTGTAGAGTAGAAACATTTTTCATTTATGTTTCTTACCAGTTGTAAAATCTAAGGCATCCACTTAATAAAAAATAAAGAGAAAATTATTTTTTCTAACGGAGAAAATGTGAGAGTTATGTGTGAAGGTAGGGTAGGGGGGAATGGTGACATAAAAGGAAGGGGTGGGACGAAATAATGAGACTTGTGAGGGTGACTTATGGTCTTAATTAGGGTCTAACTAAGCAGTGGCGGATCCAGGGGAGGCGCCCAGGGGGCCCACCTTCCCCCCTCTTATTTTTAGTCCAAACTGTGCCCTAAAGGGTCGAAAAAAATATTTTTTGAGACGGCCCTCCCCCTGCCTCTTATCTGAAGGTATGGATCCGACACTGCTAAGAGCTAAGCTCGTTCCCAGGGGAATGAGGTTGACTGAGGACATGAAGAAGCAGATAGTACGCACCCCATTACCATCACTGCAAAGACAGTATTTAGGGTTTATTGACCTGCAATGGTCAGGTTAGCACAAAGTGGACGTGGAGCAAGAGACATGCGTGACAAGGGAAGTAAGATTTCTGTGCCTTCAATTCCCCAGTGCTCATGTGCTTTGTGCATGCCTCAAAAACACGAATAAGTAGTGCGAACCCATTCTAGGTGGAGAGAAATGTAAAAGTGAATTTTAAGCCTGGTGAATACATGAGAAATGATGATGTTATAACATTCAGTGACACTGGTGGCTTGGAAGAGACTCTTTTGGGGAGTAGTTGGAATTTTTAAACCATCCATGTCACCCAGTCCCAGAGGTTTTTCTTAAAATTTGTCATGAAAACTGTCATCCTTCTTTTGTGGAATATTATTTTGTTAACTAGAGAAAAAAAAAGTGTCTGCTGATGATTGCTACCATAACATTATGTGATGCCATCTTTTCAGGTGGAAGGCAATTAAGAAACTTGAATCTGTTTCAAATAGTTTTATTAAAAATTCTGTGTACATAATTTACACTTCAGTCACTTTTACATCATTTTTTTATTTTGTTTTTGTATAAATAAACCAATATTTAATTCCAGTGCAATTTTTTTTACAATAAATACGGTAACCAGAAGCCGTATCATGCAGACTGTTCATTAATGGCAGCTAACCTTTATGGCAGCTGTTTTTACTACCAGTAACAAGATAACTGCATTCACAAATGCAAGGTTTCTACAGTAATTAGAGCAAAGGGCACCCAACAATGTCCTCAGTTCTGTATGGATGAACTTTACCTGACAGAAAATCAACTACAGTTTCATCCCACATTTCAAAGCTGTTTGAAATGGCAGTTGTGTCTTCGTTTGTTTCTGTACTACCAGTTACTAGGGGAGTTTTCAATTCTGGGTTTGCAGTTCTGATTGCAGCCACAAATGCAATTGGGTTTGGTTCGGTTGTAACAATGACTTCCCGTTCGTTTATTACTACAGTCTCTTTAAGCTTTTCACCCGAGTCAAAAGTATCAGTGTCTTTGTTTGCTTCTGTGTCAACCATCCCACTGACCATTGCTTTATTCACTGACTCTGTTTCTGGTGGTGTTGTTGAATTTGCTCCTTCAGTTGTACTTTCGTCGGCATTTTCATCACCTACTAAAGTGTCATTTTCATTAGCTTGCTTGGCTTCATCCTCTTTCTGACACTGGGTTGATTCGTCGTTTATGCCTGCGTTTTTATCTTCCTCCACAAGATTTCTTTCAAACGACAAGTCCTCCACAACACCTCCTTCCAAAGACTGCCTCACGTTTTGAGAAAATGTATCGTAATCGTTGTCCTGTTCGGGATCAAACAAAGGACTCAGAGGATCTTCTAAGTTTGGATTGTACAATAGAAATAATAGTCCCTGCACACAGTCTTCCAAATTGTTTGTCTCGACCCATTCGTTGAACAAATTCAAGCAAATTTCGCCGTTTTCGTCTATGTTTGGATGATAAATTTGTGTCACGCATGTGACATTCGGTGCATCCTTTGGATAATTTTGGAGAGTTACTTGAAAGTCGAATTTTCCACCACAGTAAAGACCATCGTTTGGAACTATCTCGACTTTAAATGATTCGAGATTTTCTTCGTAGTGGCAAACCTCAGCTTGCTTGTTTGAAAAGCTCGCGATGCTTTTCATGAGCTTGTGGAAGTCTTTCGCTAACGTATTTCCTTCCATCCCGCACATTTTGATTCGGTCTTGAAATCCAAGGGAAAAAGGCTTATGTGACTTATATCTTTTCAGCAACAATTCATTACCAGTTCGCAATAAGTAGCTTGAAGAAATGTTTGAATAAAATGATCGGAAAGCTCGTTTTATAGCGTTAATTTCACCAGCACCGCAAAGTTTATGTTTGATGGTGCAACGGCGTGGACACCAAATGATTCCGCGTCAAGAACCAATCACAGCAGACTATGATTGCATCATCTTTATTTTCTTCCTTCCGGGGAATACCCCTCGAACGTGGGGTATGTTCTGGGGGCTTACACAGGGAAAAAGCTTCAAAAAACAAGCCTCTGGACTTTTGTTCTGGTATAGAAAAGGAAACTAAGATATTTAGATTAGCTGAAACTGTGCAGTTTTCTCTTCTTTTTTTTTTTCGGTGTATGGGAAATTTATTTTCAAGTATGTGCTCCTGAGAATGTAAATCGTCTATTAAAAACCAAATTTTTGGCTCAGCTGCATTCCACTCGAATTATATATATTTGGATCGGTACAACTAGAGGGCAAAAGGGCTTTTACCTTCCAATTTAACAATACGTTTTTGTGAGGTAAAAAGAGGAAGGACGAGATGAGTGTAAGGCTGAGCTCTAAAGCCGTGATATTATGGACAGTTGATCGGATGAGACTTGCAATAATGAGCGGATTCATTTTTTTTTTTTATATATATCCAGAACAATATTATAACAGTATTTTATCTCTGGACGAAATGAGCTTTGATACTGAAAATAAATATTTAATCAGCCGAAAACCCCGGGCGACAAACGACTGATAATTGAAAACCGTAACATGTGCGCCAGCGATCAATTTACTTCAAGTTAAACCACCTGGCATGCGTTCAAAAAATCTGAGGAATCTGCAAACCGGTAGTAAAGTCACAAAGATGACTCCGATACACAGACAATTGCTGTATCTTTTCCTTTTTGGTTACATTTTGGAAGCAGTAACTGCATCGGATGGTGTTGGATTGGCAGATTTGGCAAAAGTTTTGGGACAGCTAGCCGGCGGAGACAATTGTGTATTTAAATGTCCCAAAGGTAAGATCTTCCTAAGGCCGGTTTGAAGCGCCTCGATAAATAGCAAAATAGACTCTACTTTAAGAGTAACTAACACCTTACTGAAACACACTACAAGTGCACGTTTGAAAGAGACAAATAATGTATATATATGTGATTTGGTTTAATACGCTACACTGACTGCTCCTATATTGCCTTATAAAAGTCATGTAAATAATAATAGCACGGTGACGGTCATTAATGGCTCCGAATGTCACACCAGAAGCGATCGACTAGACTACCTTGAAACGATCTTAAGGAGCCCTAAACACCCGATATACCCACCGTTATTTCCTTTTTTTAGTCATTATCTTAACCACGAAAAAACATGGCAAACAAAGTTGTGCACAAACATAACATCATTCCTTCAGCAGGTTTCAAATGAGATGACCTGGTGTATTTTGATTGGTTGCCCATATGGTCCATTTATTTACTCACCTGAGAAATTGACCGTAGGCTACATAAATCAAAAAGCAACTAATGCTTTCAAGAATATTTTTTTTTTAACTAAAGAAAAAAAGTATATGTTTTTCACATACATTTTTGAAACTGATAATTTCTTTTTTTGACAGGACACAAACCTCTTGCTAATCCAAAACACATACCATCATCAGATGGCTGTGGTTCCATGGGAATCAAGGTATAATTCTGAAACTACTTTAACCCTAATATCAGTGTGCTTATTATTTACTCTGTTCCCAACACATTTCTCTTGAAATGAATGAGAATTTATTGAACAATCAAGGCATTTTTTAATAGGACGAGTGTGTGACTTTGCTCCCTTCCTTCAATCCCCAAGTAGGGGTGGCGAATAGTAAAATCCGAGATGCTGAGATCCTAGTTAGAAATCCAAGCCCGAGACTCTTTGGTAAAAAGTTTTGAGACTCAAAGAAAGTAAAAACAAACCATGCAAAAACGAGACTTCGAGACTTATCAAAAACACTTCCAAGTTTTCGAGATCCTGCCAAAATTTGCCGAGACCCACGTTTTTCGAGGTACCATTCACCACCCCTCCAAGTGACCTCCAAGGTTGTTACAACTAAAAACATGGAACTAAACATTTCAAATAGACTGTGAACAGGCTCAGATTTGGAGCAGAGCAAAAAAGTGGCAAGTAGAGCTAGAGTGTGACCAATAATTTTTCACCCCACTCCACTTGGGACCCTGTTCACAAGCTACTTTCAAAAGATTTGACTTCTTAAATTATTTGTGTATTTCAGATTTTAAATATAGTTTATGTCCAAAATATTTTTGAGTGAAACTAGGGTGTAGATAATAGTCCAGGCTTGGCAAGAAGAAATGCTAGCCTGACTGATTATTCTTTAGCCTTGGGCTATAGATGGAACTTCTGTTGTGAAAATCAAGATAAGCAATGCAACCAAAGACATTTTTGTTGTGTTGTCACTTACACACATGCACTGTCATTACTTAAACTGGGCATAAACCATCCCTGTTGCAGTTAATTTCTGTTTTTCCTTTGTTTTAAATTCATTAGCATTCATTACCATACCTAAAAACAATGGAAAAATAAAAATTAACTGAAATAAAAAATTAACTACAACATCCCCCTTTACATTGGGTTTATTCCTTTTCTGCAGCTTGACACAACTCACTTCGCTGGCTTTACCAGATGCTGTGACCTCCATGACAAATGCTATGACACATGTAACAATGACCGCAACCAGTGTGATGAAGATTTTAAATCTTGTCTAGACAATGAGTGCCTCTTAACAGGGCTTGGCAATCGCCTGCCTAAAGAAGAGCTGGAGGCTTGTCAGAAATCTGCAGACCTTATGTATTCAGGGACTTATGCTCTAGGGTGCATGTCTTACAAAGAAGCCCAGAGAAATGCATGTCTATGTAATGGAAGAAAAATAACTAAGAACGAAATGGATGAACTTGAGAGAGATGAGGAATTATAACCCATCATGAAATTAATACTAGTTGTATATCTACTTTCAATTCAATTTATTTATTTGAAAAGTACATATTTGATAGCGAATCAGCCTATAAGACTTTTACCCTTCCTGGCTTTTGTCTTAATCAAAGAAAAGAAAGTTACAACCATGAGTAAAAAAGCCAGGACAGCCATCTGTTATACACAGGCAATAGTAGATTTGATACTTAAAGCAAATAACATTTCACCTCAAATGAGCAGCACAAGTACAAGCCAACATCCAACACATTTCCTTTTTTCCAATTCTTGAAAGATTCTGGTGGTCTCATAGTGTTCATATTATTGTGCTATTTTTAATAAAAAAAATCATGCAACTTCTGTTTGGCAATTAAATAATTCCTTTTTGCTCCTCACCCTACCCCCAACCTTCTGTATAGCACGTAGCAATAATACAGAAACAGTATAGGTATTCAGTCAAGAGACTATGATTACTAATAGTCTATTATAAAAATTCTGCAAATCAACTTTCAAAACTTTATTCCATGCACCAAGATATTGGTGTTAACTATCTTTAAAGTTTTAATTCTCTGCACTGAAATTTACAGTATTTTACCTTACTTACATACACCCACAGACTAAACTTACTGTTACAATTCCATGCCAATACCTATTTAACAATAAATATTAGTCATCCACTGATGACAGATTCTGTCCAATGCAACAATACTTATCAGCAAGGTTGTTGCAAGACCACTTGAGCCAAATTTTTTCCCTCATGCAAATGCATATCAGTGTGTTCCTTTTGACTGTCAATCAACTGATTTTGCATACAGCAGCCTTCTTTCTTACTGCTCCACAAGTCAGTGAATTACAGCCATGTTTTGTACCCTTCCAACCCCAATGTCCTTCTCATTAAGTTGCAATTCTGCATTTTTCATGTTCATCAAAGACATCGCCAAACAGAAATTGTACATTGTCCAACCTGGCTAGTCTGCTTACACTCAGTCTAATGCTGCCAGACCAATTTCCTGTACTCTCTGCAGCTGGAGAGGGAAATTGTTTACAATTTTGTGAGCATTGGCCATGGTAAGAACTACATCAATAATAACTAGCAAAGGATAATACCAGCAATATTATAGGGACCTTGGACCAGATTCACATCACAATTCTTTGTGGAAAAATATCCTGCTAATAAAACAATAACTAGCCTAATATTGTTAAATCAGCAAAATTTATACAGCTTTCTCCCATATATTGCTTGCTACTACAGAGGCAGCTATATACACAGGCTATTTGCATTTCCAACAATGGGCCACCATTAGTTTTATTTAATGAACCAGGGGCCCAATTCCCCAAAGTTATGGTACATTTTCAGGGCTTGTAATCAAGTATTCAAATCAAAATCTAAAGAATAATAGCAGAGGTCCTATAGCTAAAACAAACCTGATAGTTGTATGCAAAACTATTGAAACCTCTATCTTGAATGCAACAACAACAGCTTCACTGGAACGTTCTAGAAACTGGCTCCCCACCCAAACAACTAATAGCGAGAAATTATTGTTCTCACCATTATTATTCTCACCTCCATCAATGTCCTATAACATCATTTCTTCTTTTTCACTGGTCGTCCTTCTCGTTGAATCCTGAGGAACTCTTGTCCTTTCAGCTGAGCCAGGTTTCTCAAGTCTTGAAATGGATGCTCACTTTCACTTGGAGTCTTTGGAATGCCTAAATGGCGACGCACTGAAGGAACCTTAATGGCTATGTTCTGTGTCAGACCAAAGAAGGCTGAAACAGCCCAGTAAAGGGACATGGCCTGAAAATCAGAAACGTGAAAATAAAATAATGTTCATTTATGCAAGAAATCATAAATATTAATTGCATTTACAAAATGATCATTAGATGAACTTTTTTAACCATGATAATAATAACATTATGACTTAACAGTGCCTATAACTATGGACCACTTATTTGTAACTGATTTCGTCATAATTAAGTTAAAAGAAACGGTTTCTTCCTGATCTATCAAGTTTAAAAAAGATTTAATTATATTAATATTGCCATTTACATGGTTTTTTTTTCTCATAAAATTATTATTATACAAAATGATAATTATTAGATATAAATTAAACGTCACTATGGCATAGTTTGAAACTGATAATAAATGATGATTTATTATTACAAGCCACAAAATTAATAATCACAATGATTATATAAACTATTTCAATCCTAGGAAGAGTCGAACAAACTCTAAGGTTAATGACAACTTACTGCAGGGACCTGTGAAGCTACAACCACCATTCCCACGGACACAATTCGCAGGGTGTTGGTCACAATCCGTTGGAACTTTGTTGCTTTATCTCGTCGCAATGCATTGAGCTGACCACAAGAGAGAGAAAAAACACTCATGTGAGATTCAAACATACCATATAAAACTTGAGTGATTACCATCATATAAAGATGAATTAAAGCTGCTCACTAATATATGGCTGCTATTTTTCCATAAAATGCAGTATCTGTAACAGTCCACCAGGAAGTGCATGGACCTTTTCTGATAAATTGAGGAACACACTTTGATTCAACAGTTAAGAAAAATTCCTAATTTATATCTCATTTTAAAAACTGCAAATTGACAGTGCTACTGTATTTGATTTGTCACCAAATGCATGTTTTTCACAGATTTAACTGCACGTCCCTTTAACCAACTTTGGGAGCCAAATTAAGCAATGGAAAGGAGCCCAAGCAAGAATATCCAGAGGCGAGACCTAGGTTAGGATAAGTAATTTATTTTACTGTAAGTTGTTGATTTTGGTCTTAAATGTGACACACCCTTTTTGGTAAATAAAATGTCCAAGAGAAACAAACTGGCAACAGTGTGACCTGCTCCATATGAACAGGTGGCCAAATAGGCTAAGAACACCTGTTGCATTATAAGGCAGTCCTTTGGAAGCTGAGAGCATTAATTTTTGAAGTTTCTTTTGAACTGATCACGTTTTAAACAAATCTACACATTATTCAAACAAATTTACAAAAATATAGTTCATGCAAGTACCAAATTACTGCCATAACACAGGAATCAATTCTTTTATTTCTATCTTAGGTAAATGTAAGGCCATTAGTTTGTGCCTGCTTTGACGTTTGCCAATGTAAGTTGAAACTGTTTGGAATCATTCCAAAACAGAAGTTCTAAATAACTTCTACTTTAACTTTACAGACCAGTATTGTAGCTTTGCTTCTGTTAAGGATGTTTAGTCGGGGCTGTCATTAAGAGCCAGGGGCCAGGGATTTCCCCTGGCTACTATGAATGTGGTCCTTGGCTACTTTCAAAGGGAAAAAGAAGAAAAATAGAACCAAAAGAAATTCCTAGCTGACCCCAGTAATGTAGGAGCTGTTCATACAGTGTTGCCTTACTTGTTTGCAGAAAACAATAACACATCATTGTTAACCTTTAACATAACTGTCTTGAACAATTTCTCAGTGGTTACAGTTACAACTAAGAAATTTGATGCAAACAATCTACAATCTCCAATCACTATTGTCCAGCATCATGGGTGACAACAACTTGTGGGTGAAAAAAACCCGTGACAACTCAAAGCAATAAAAATAATTATAATTGTAGACTGTTTTAGCATGTCATGAGCTACATAAATCTCAACACTAAGACTATGTCAAAGTTAAAAAGAAAACAGCACAATAGATATTCGAAAAATTTACAACACAACTATAATAATCCATTAATTTCAAAGTTATGCATCAACTTCAGAAAGATTTTTATTTTTAAAAAAAATTTAAAAATTATTACAAGTATATAAAAATTAATTATAATAATATGCATGATATAATTAGAATTGCAGATTATATTATTGCATTTAAGATGTTAAAGCAAAATCAGCCTTCTGAATGTTCCAAAGCAATGCAAAATTGTAAAATCTCTATCATGAGTACCTAAAGAGTCTTCTTTAAACTCAGTTAAAATTTTTTTATCACAACAGAAAGTAGATTTTCATATACATTAAACGTCTTTGCTATGTAAAACTGAAGTAACATAAATTAATGGTAAACTGCAGTACTCCATGATGGCATAGCTTATTAAGAAATAGACACATGATTTCTGAGACCAATATAAGAGTGTCAAATTGGACAAAAGTTTGACACCCATATTTTCAAATATTTTTTCTACTCCTAGATGAAAATTTTGTCACATAATAATTATTTTTTGTCAACACAAAATGTGTCTGTCAACTTTGTCAACAGTATGAACAATCAGCATCAGGCTGCCTTGATGAGCAGGTGACCATTGATCACCTGTTGCTATGTCACAGGTGGCTTCTAACATCCAAAATGCACATTCCTTTGAAAACAAAATTCAATGGGACTTTTTATCTTTCAAAACATCACTTAAAAAGCATATTTCCAGCTGATCTGTATGGCCATCATTTTCATCAAGCAGCAAAAAGTGAGAAAATACTAAGTGAGTTTGTTGTGCAATTTTATTTCTTTAAAGCTACAAATTTTTCTTTCCAGGACCACACCTAAGCTCCACCTTACAAATAACTTACAGTCAGACTATAAACAATGAGGTTAGCTTCACCTGATTATGAACACAACAGCACTCCACACCCTTCATCTACAATCCTCGCCCTTAAAAACCTGGGTTGTTTATTGTCCACACAACACTAATTGCAGGACTAAACCTCGAGTAAGGGGTATTTAACTGCTCCAAAGCAAAGTTGCTCCTGACCAGTTCAGTAAGTAAAATTATCTTGTTATGAAAAATTATTACAATGACCACTACTTTGAAATGTTGCAAAAGAGAAATGACTCATGTTTGAAACAGAAATTGAATAATTTTCATAGGAACTAAAAATTGGAAAATTTAAACATTGTTGTTCTATCTTCTATTTAATTCATAAACTCTTTTAAGAATCTCTTCTGCATGATAATGATTCAAAGAATTACACCTTTCAGTATTAGAAGAACAAACCACCAAATATTACGTGACAAAAAAGAAAGTTCAGTCAGTTTTTACTTGCTTGTTTTCATAACAAATCATTTGCAAAACATGTTCACAACAGAGTAGTTGTGAAGGAAAAAATATCTTTTTGCTAGTGTGTAAATTAATCTTCAGCACCTGCTTAAGTTTATAACTTAGGCGTTAAAACTTTACAGCTTAACTTTAATGTTCAAACATTAATTTGCACTCAAAGATTTGATATTATATTTCTAGAGAGTACTGAATGTACATTTAACAGACCAAGTAACTGTTTATAGAATTGAAAACAGTCAAGTTTTTAAAACATGTTGACAAGGCTTTTCAGGTCAGCAATAAATTTCAATAACCTAAGTTACGCTGTTATGTTTTCTTCTTTAGAAACCAACAAAACTTAACTTTAATGTTCAAAAATTAAATTTGCACTCAAAGATTTGATATAAATGGATTTCTAGAGAGTACTGAACGCACATTTAACAGACCAAGTATAAACTGTTTATAGAATAATTCTATAATTCAATTATTGAAAACAGTCAAGTTTTCAGTACATGTTGACAAGGCTGTTCTGGTCAGCAATTTCAAAAACTTAGTTTTGCAGTTATGTTTTCTTCTTTAGTAACCAACAAAGAAACATTTAGTTTTCTATTTTAGAACCATGTTTAAGCCAAACAGCAAATAGCAATTTGTACCACCTGACAAAGTTTTCTCTTTACCTCTTGATTACTATACAGTTCAACTATCTATATCATCCCTTGAATTATTTTGCACAGTTTTTTTCTGTCCATTTCCTTCTTTGAGAAATCGTCAACTTGAATTTGACGTTTGCTGTTTGCTGTAATAACGTGATTCTAAATCTCTCTGACGTAAAATTTCCTTCTGCCATAAATTATATCTTTCACCAACATTACACATAACTATTAAAGTATCGTTCTCTCAAGTGTGCTACTGAAAAATTATAATACTGACCTCAATATTGGTGAGGTTAAAGATACCAACAGCAAAGGGAATGATCAGGGTGGGGTCTGCTACAGTAAGGTCAGGAAACCACAGGGCACCCTCATTTGTTATCTCAGGACAGGGGAGGATAACATCACCATCTAAAACAGACATTGACAGTTGTTACATCAATGTGCCTGGCATATTATTTATAAACTTTCAATAATTCTTACAAGCAAATCTTTAACATCTGGATACAAAATGCCACACTAAAATGTTTTCATATTACAGCAGGGAGCCTAAAAGTGTGATCTTCTTTAATTAACTCACATTTTTTTTCATGCAGACATTAACCAGTCAGAAGTCAAGGACAGTTTCCAGCTGGCTTCTGATTGGATTAAATCTATACAAAAGAATGCTTTTGGGCTCCTTGCTGTAAAAGTTAAAAAACATTTAAAAAGACAACATTTTGGAGGTCAACTTACGTCATAATCAAGTCATTAAATATGAAGAACATTTGAGTGCATTATTTAATATCCGAAAGTTTAACAAAGTCACTTCTTATCTGAATTAGCAAATCTTACTTTTATTAATTGTTGTGTACTATCTTTAGTGAAACATGCACACATGAGGCCCTGCCAGGGTAAATTCCAACAAGCGACGTGGCCCAAAAAGTAGCGACAGCGCGTAAAATGAAATCGCGACAAGAGACAACCTCCCTCGGCCAAATTGCGACAGCGACAACACAGCCGACGATAAGAGACAAGCATTTATAAACACCGGCACGAGACGTTTTAGAATTCAGACGGGCGACATTGGACCCTCCCCCTGGCAGGGCCTCACACATGGCCAGAAAACATTTCATCCCATACCATTTCAAAATAAGCTACAATCCCAGACAAAACTACTTGAGAAAGTTTTCCCCATTATGTCCATTTTCCTACGTAACAAAACTATTTCCAAAACAATGCCTTTGCAGAAAGAAATCCCGTTCCCCCACTTCAATGTTGCTTCCTACAAATGCCCAGGAATCAGGCCGGCTTTCTTTTGAATAGACAACAACATTGCTTTCAGGGGTCAAGGGGGAGAAGGAAGAACCGCGAACAGCTATGTTGTTTAGAAAAATGCTCCCCAAGTATACAATTTTCTCAACAGTTTTGTCCAAGATTGTAGCTGACATCCCCTCATAATTATATTAGTTTGTTTATTTTCAGCTTGAACATTGGTAGGTATCCTTGACGGCCAATGGCTGCAGCACCTAACTTCCCAACTTACAAGTGGTGGGAAACAGATGACAAGACAAAACGCCTTTACACAGAGCTGTTGGCAGAAAAACTCTCCAGCCCAAGAAAAACATTAGGAACCTCACTCAGCAGAAAGCCATCAAATGGAAAAGATGTGAAAGGCAGACTAACATCATCCCCTAAACATGAGGTACATGTACTGCCTACAAATGGTTATTCCAAAGAGAAGGAATCTGTCAGAAACAAGCAGGATGAAAAAGGGGATGCAGAGGATAAGCATGGAAAATACACTTTTGAAACAATCACTATCGACACACTTGCTAAATATGAATACATTAAGAGTCCAAGGAAGAGAGCTGCAGCCACAACTGTACCAGTGAGTTTCTTTGAAAAAACCAGTACAATGCCGGATAACAAAGACGTTAGGGATAAGACTTTGCCTTCACAGACAACATCAGATTCCTCGACCTCCAATGGTCACTATCTTATCTCACAGAAGATGAGCTCAGCAAAAACTGAAGCTCCAAACTGGAAATTAGACAAGGGTGCTGTCAAAAAGGCTGAAAACAAGAGTGTTGGGATTCAAAAAGAGAAACCTTCACGTTCTATGAAACTGAAAGAAATTCCCGAGTACACTTCATCAGAGTCAAGTGAAAACTCGGCAGATGAAACAGTGATCATGGGAAACAAGGCTGCTGACAAGGAGAAAAAGTTGCAGACACCTCTCCTCGACTTGAAAGAGGTCAGTGACAAGAAAAAAGCCTCTAAAACTGATCAGCCCTTAAAGATTGAGGAGCTAGGCACCAAGTTCCAGCTTTTGTCTGAGGAAGTGGCACAGCTGGAGTTCAAGATGTTTGAATTTTCCGACGATATTCAAAAATTGAAGCAAGCCATGGGCTTCAAGGAAGCTGATACAGAACAAAAACAAGAGAATAAAAGCACTGCTGAGAAGAATAAGAGTGGCTATGGAGTTACTCGTCAGAAGAGCTTCACATATGCCGATAAGTTCCACAGTAAAGCTGTGTTGATGAAACAGCAAGCATCACCAAGTAAGATGCTTTCTGCTAAGCCCGGTAAATTTCTTCCAGGTAAACTGACACTTGAAAGTACAAGTACGGAGGAGGCAATGGCTGAATTGAAGAAGAATGAGGCCTTAAATCAGATCATCAGTAAAATTAAGGAAGAAGAACTCTCTGAAGATGACATCCAGGAGATTCTGCGCTGTGCCAAGGACAAGTACATCAATAAACCAAACTACCTAGAGGAGCTGGGATATGTCCGAAAAAATGACTAAGTTTAGCAGATCTGTAAACAGTGGCTGAAGAAGTTTGACAAAAAAACTGGATGAAAGAAACCTTGGACAAAACTGCAGCTCGGTTAATATGTTGAGAATTTTGGCTTATGGAATTGACTTTTTCTAAAGAAAATCAATGTATAAGCAAGTTACAAGGCTTTCTGAAACATACAGGTTAAGCAAGAGGTGACTGTTATATTATATTTGACGGAGCACAAGTGGTGGTCTTGCAAAAGCAACTTTTCAAATGCACCAAGCAAACTGAGAGGCGACAGTCATAGTATCACTGACAATAAACATACGAACCATTAAGAGGACTAGAGATAAGCCACATAGGTTAATTAAGTGATTTATTCAGAATTGGACAAGATCACAAACTATATAGTTAAAAGTAAAAAATTGGAGGCCACTGTTTTTTTATCACTGAGTCATACAAAATATACCATCCCAAATTTAAAAAGAAGAGTCACTTTTAATAGCATTTTATAACAAAAAGCTCTTATCTCAAATCTCAATTGATTTTTCTCTTCAACCTCTAACATTATTGTTTCCTTGACTATGCCTTTATGTAATGATACTAAATATTTAAATTTATTTATCTAATAATATTTATTCTAAAAGTTAAACCCTAACCCTCAGCTGTTCTGTTCCACCTAGATTAGCTTTTACCCCACAGGACTTTAAGTTAATTCATTCAATAAAGTTATTGTTGTTGTTATTGTTATCGTTAAGCTGCTTAAATAATAATAATCATCATCATCATCAACAACAACTATTTGAACAGAAACAACTTGATAAATTTTAACTTTGAACAAAAAAGTGAGAAAAATAATTATAACAAAATGGTTATGACATAAGTAGGTTGAGTATGATCATCCGGGTGAACGTAGTCCTGAATAGGACTGACTGTGTTTTGACAACCTGTGTGGTAGTCATCCCATGGTCAACATGAGTTGTATCACATCAGTTGATGGTATTAAAAAGGTTCAGCCAGTACATATATTCAGCACATCTTACATGTATTTTGGTAGTTCATTTATGTTCCCATCACCATTATGGTTTAACAAAAGTAAGTGCATTGCATGTCCCGCCCACTGAGTCTCACAAAAGTCACATTTTTGAAACGTGGCCATCAGTACAATTTAATAATAATATTTAACTTTATTAGCCATATCCATGCATTTTAGCCACTATTTGAACACTAATCGCCCTAGTGATGCATCTAGCTTCTTCTCACAATACCGCTAACAACTGATTGTTTTGTTACACAATTTCTCCTCATAAGTAGCACAAGAAGTGTATAACAGTAATAGAGCTTAAAATGTGTAGCAAAGAGGGACAAGTTGAAAGGTCATATAAATGAAAAAAGAGGGCCATGTTAATGTACATTTTTTGTAATTTTTGAATCAAATTGCATTTTGTAATCTTTGTACTAAATAACTATACTGGTAGATACAAAAACAAAACATGTGTAATCAATAATATATTATAGCTCGCAATTAAAAGTAAAACTTATCCAAATTTTGATCACAAGGAATTCATGATCTTCTGACTTTTAATTTATGTACTCTAAAGGCCTGGTTCAGATGCCTCAGATTGCATGAGCCACTTCAAATACGACTATAGGCTGACCCAAATTAATTTAGGTCACTGAGCTGAATTGATTCAGATGCGATCTTTATTCCAAAATGCACTAAAAATACATTACCAAAGTTTATGCAAGTGGTTTAACAGGGCCTTTAAAATTCTACAAATATCTAAACGAGACCCTATAGTCCTTCTTCAAACCCAATTTTCAGAGATAGGAAAAAAAAGCCCACATCCTTTGAATCCACTCCTTATCCCTTTAACCCTTCAAGTCCCAATGGTGACCAACATCAATTTCCTCCAAACAATATCCATACATTGTCAAGGGAAAAGGTTATGAGAATTGCTAAAATGATCACCAAAGAGAAAATGCCTTGATCTTTTATTAAATTTATTCAACAATTTCTTACAGGAAATGTATGGAGATCTGTTTGGAGAATTTGTATTTGGATACTGGGGGTTAAAGGGTTAAGCCTCAATAACAACATAAAAAAATTCTCCAGACTGATCTCCATACATTACCTTAAAGGATGATAAGTTTAGAAAATTTTTTGATAATGGTGATCATTTTATTCACATTCTCAAACCCTACTCTTTTGATAATGTGTTGATAATCTTTGGCAAAAATTAATATAGATATTAAAGAAGGAAATTTTTTCCATACATGCAATACCATTAGCACGAAGGTTTGTTGGTTTGGAAACTGACAAATACATGTATAAACAACTTAATTTGCAAGTTGTTTGCCAGCTAGAAGCTTAATTCATCTATGATCTTTGGATTACCATTGTAAAATAATAGCTCCAGGCCTGAAAATTAATTTTATCTGTATTTACAACATTTTATCAATGTACCTGCTTTTCTCTGAGATGGAAAAAACCCTGTCAGGTTTCTGAATGACAAGGATAAAAAGAACCACAGAGGCAGTTGAATCCAAGGCAAAATGTACATTTTCATTGGATTGCACCCCTCAGACTGGTAGTAGTCATATATCATTTTACGATGCTAAACAATAGAAAGAAATAATACCAGCAAGTTACTATACTGAAGTGGCAAGTACAATTATTGGTGAAGTTCTGAGCAAACGCCCATAGCAAAATTGACTGGCTACAGGGGCTAAATGCCTAAGTTAAATATGAACTCATTCTTCGTTTGTCTCTGTTGAGATAATGTGGGCCGGGTACTGGCACATTTTTTCCTACAATTAGCCTATGTAGCCAGTGATTTTGATACAAATAGTTATGGAGAGTCCTGGGATTCATCTTGTGAAAACTCACGAGTCCCAGTCCAGAACCAATGAGTCCCATTTAAAAAAAAAGGAGTCCGAAATTGAAAATGCTTGGGCTGTTATGTACATGTAACCAGACAGTTAATCTGAAGACAGACTCCAAAACTCTGTATTACAGTATACTTAGTCCTTCTATTTTAAACCACAACAAAGGCTAAAAGAAATATGCACCATCAAACAACAGCGATAATAAAATTAATGCCACAGAAATTACATGAACGGGATATTTCTACAAATACTCAGATTCTGATCGAATGATCTATCTTTGCATCCTACAGGACGCATGCCATGAATAACTGCCATTATTTTGCGTCTTTGGGGATTTTCATGTGTCAAAGACACAGGACGCAGAAAAAAATAGGTAACAAAATCACTACGTAGCAGGGAGTGGTTATTTTTTGGGGTTAATTTTTTATCCTAGCCTTTAACACAAAGAATCAGAATCATGATGGATATGATGCAAAATAAAAACCTCAATGGGTACCAGAAAACTGGTGAAAAAAATAATCTCAAAGTTTCAAACTTAAAAGCTCATTTTATTAAAATTTAATAAGCAAAGGCTGCTGAAAAGCTACATTGATAGGGACAAATAATTAAGGCCAGTTGATAACTGCTATTGGTGACCATTATTGTAAAAAAACACAACAACATTCTCAGCTGAACTCGGTCTTTCACTGATTGATCCCCATGCAGCCAGTTGGGGTGATGACTACATTTCAAAACCCCAGGGTGGTTATTCACCTTTGTTATATAACTGGAAATAATTATTTCCCAACAGTGTGCACTCTCATTGGTTACTTTGAGGTCACATGACATCTATCAATAAAACTGTTTCCAGCCAAAATCTCTGAGAAGGCAACAGTGCAAAACTGAAGTTTGTATGTTGTTAGCAGGTAACAGTGCACTGTTACCTTGGAACGTTGACCGATGACCGCTGCTACAGCAAGGTTTCATGAATTTGCAGCTTCAAAATTTCCAGCTACTATAACAAATCACTTAAAGACTGGTCCCTCAGGAAACAGTAAATTTTCTGTCAAAATTAACTGTTTCCTGTCATTAATACATGGCTACAATGGTACCCGTGAGCTGCCACTCTGATTGGCCGTTTTCTTGTGATGACCGGGCATTACTATCTAGGTGTCCAAGGCGGCCGTCCAAGACAATCTGTGTTTACCTTGATAGTGGACATCCTTATGGACATCCATGTTACATGTATGGTCAATATTGACAGCTGTCAAAAAAAGCATCCGCCAACCAGTGTCACCTGACTGTATCGTGGGCTCAAGTGTACAACTCATCGAGGTGACGTGTTTTAATTTTAAAAGTTATCTGCTGACCAGTTGTTGGTTTTAATTGATTGCAGGCTCAGGTCCAAAATAAAAAGGACATATAATAAATAACTTATTAACCTCATCTGCTTGTTCTTTATAGGGAAATCTCAGACCATGGCCTTGATTAATAAGTATTATATATTACCTCAGGAAATAATTATTCCTACATACATCCTTACCCTCTTCTTGAACAGCTTGTCTGCTTCATCAGCTGATACACTTAGCCTACGGCATTCACTCACCACTCTGTGTTTCAAAGCCTCTGTCATCATGCTGACAGTTGGCTGTCGCAGTTCAATTTCAGCAATAAGTTTGTTCTGGTGTATTGCCAAGGGAACTGTTATAACACTCCTTAAAGCAGCTGTGAAGCCAATAATTACTGCCCACCTGCAAAGAAACAAAGCAAGAACATTCCTTATCTATAGCACATGTAACTGCGGCAAATGGTCTTTAAAATATAATTTGAAAATCTTTTGTACAGGAAAATCACGATTTATAATCTACAATGTGGCCTCAAAATCAGCTAATAAGAGGTATACAATCCCTTATTCAGAAACAAGTGTTCTTATCAGAACAACACAGTCTACAGCACATTTCCAATATCACACTATAAAAATACTGCCCTGTATTTGAAACGTTGGCCAAACCTTTTTTTGTTATTTATGTTTCGTTTTCATTATTAATAAGACGAACATTGGTATGTACAGTATTCCCCAATTCAGGAACAATAATTGGTCACCAGCATTAACCATGTAAAGTTGGTGCACACTAGGGCACATGTCCAGGGCTGTCAAAAAGTTTTTAAGTAGCAGGCTGATAATGAATAGTAGGCGGCTTTAGAACTCGCACCACCAAAGGCACAAGTTCTTGAGGGTCGAGGCATCTAGGGATATTTTGAAAATTAGAGTCTTGGAAATGGCACTTCCAGGGGTTTTCAAGAGGTATTTTCCACCATGGATGCCATGTTGCTTGGTCAGAATACACGCAAGACTGGGAACAATGCCGTCAAAATGTCCCAGGCATTCCAAGATATTGCACAGTTCGAATTTTTCACAGATCTAAAGGTGTTAGAATATGCATTCAATGTCATTCAAACCTGGGAAATGGATGCTTTACAATTTTATTCAATGGTGCTTCTTATTTATTAGCAGTTATGGTAGAAGGAGATAAAAGTAGCCACCTAAGAATGGCTAACTAGCCGGCGGTTTTGGCTGGCCACCAGCCCTTATTAACAGCCCTGCATGTCAGAGGGACATTTTCTGCTCATGTGCTCTAAATGGGACACCTTAAACATCTGGGTCACTTTGTTGTTGAATCATCATGCACAATATTAAACCTGTTGAATTTTATTCAGCAAGTTACCAGTACAGAATTTCTTTCCCAGTAGAAGGATTTTTTCGGTCAAAAAAGTTTTCACATGAGGAGAATTGTCCCGGCAACATGTTTTCCAGTATGTTTTCCAAGTGAGTTAAAAAATAATATAATATATAAGTATGAAAATTTTTCAACACAAACCAAGGAAGATGAGTCCAAGCATGAACTTTCTCCAGTAGTACTTGAAGTGCATATATTGGTGGTAGATCAGGTGAGATAAAAAAATAAGGAGACCATGTTCCATTACTGCTGTGCCTCTTGTATTGAGCTGTACAAGTAACAGGTCCAACAATAACTTCACTGTGGATGCTGCTGCTGCTTCTTGAGGTACTTAACAACTGTACATAAAGCATAGTTTACAAGGACTAAGGAAAGTTAGGTTTAAAGGGACACAGTCAGCTATATGGGACCGTGCTGGCCTGGACACTACTTTTGCCAGTTTGAAAAGCGTTTGCCTCAACCCGAAATCAAACCTACGCGTCGGATACATCTAGAAATCCTCTTCAATCCTACCTTGTGTTTCATTCGATCCTCGATCTTTAACTGAAAATCTCTTTTTAAGCAAACTTTTACTCAACATTACATTATTTTATCATACTTGGTTAAAAGCAGTATTCAAAGGAACATGAACAGAAGAGGTGAGAAACGCGTAGGCGCCAAGCAGGAAAAATCGCCTTCATTTACCAAAATAACAAGAGAAATGAATCAGTAACATTGACGAGCATTTATATATATTTGGAAAATGGATGGAAAAGGTGACTTATATTCGGAAAATCAAGCATTCTCGACCGTGAACCTTCCTCACAGTACAATCACTCAGACTTTGTGCAATTTCTCATCTCTACTGATGTTCAAATTCAGAAGTATTCGTTGATGTTTGGCTTCCCTGGAAAAATCCATCGGTGAATTCTCAATGGTATATAAAAAATGAGTGCTCTGATGTGGCTTAGGGCCTATAATCATGATTTCAGCTTGTAACTAGTTCAACTCTACAAGGTTTGTTTAGAGTATTCCAGATACGCTTTGTTTCACGCGCATCTTGTGATATGCAAATCAGCTAAGAAATGGTATCTAATGCGCATCTGCATCAGCTGACTGTGTCCCTTTAATCTCAGAAAAGGATTAGCTAGGATGGTAGAGTGCTGATCTGCAGAGCAGGATGTTGTGGGTTTAATTCCAAGGCCAAACCAATACTCAGGGTTTTTTAATAGCTGAAGCTACCTCCTTTTTCCTATAAAATATCTAGACCGCACCTTTTCATGGCTTGGAGGACCATGTAGAAATGGCAGTCTCATGTCCAGTAGAAGGCATAAAAAGGTGGGGTGTCCTCAGACCCCCGAAAAACTCAGGCCCTGGGATGTCTCGAAAACTCGGACTTTCAATTACCGTAGACACTTCCCTGATTCCTTTTTCTACCAGATGGTCATCACAGTTTGAAAGTTGACGATAGAAAAAACTTGCGGATTATGCTTTTGTCGTTCGGAATGCTTCTGACGCTCGGCGTGCAAAGGTCTGCGATAACACTCTTTCCTCTTCTGGTCACAACTTCCTTCAATGTGAGAAATATTTCTTTCGAAAACCGGCTTCTATTAATAAAGAAAACATCGTTGTAACTTACCAGGTAGCTCATACGCTGTAGCGGTAGCCTCCGAATAGACATCCTGCTTTTATATTTTGGGTTTTAAGGCTTTTATCTGAGAAAACCCTCTCACATTGTTATACTTACTAGTGGCCGCCATCTTACATAACGCGGTATCACGCAGAGGTACTGCAGGCGCGAGGCGCGAAGAAAAAGGATCGCTCATTTCCAGACCTCCACTCGCGGAAATTCAGAAATCTAGCCTACTGACAGACGTAGATTCCAGAGAAAGTTGCAAAATATGTTTTTGATCCAATCACAAAGGACTGTTATTTTTGCAAGTTAAGAACCGGATCCTTTAATGTGGCAAAAACTATTCTCAGGTCACCCTTCTCTAAAACTTTTCTTTACCTGCGTTTCAGTTTTCCTTAAGAAATCCGAACAATTTTTTGAGCATACTGACATACTACGCGCGCCTATATCACGGCGTTTTCACCAAACGGACCGGTTTATGTTTGGATAAATTAAATGTTAGAGCACTTTTCTCCACTGATATGGAAGCTTCGCTCCGAAATGAACCCATTAAAATGAAGTATAAGATACGACAAAGAACAATTAAAAGTCATTTAAAGGTCAAAAATACCATTTTTGACATTTTTCAGGTCTTCTGGTTTTGCTGACTGCTTTGTGGAACCAAAAAGATATTCTACATTCGCTTCAAAAACGTTTTAAAAATAAACTGGCTGGTGAAAACGCCGTGACAAGACTAAACTGCATGGAATTTGCTAGCTCCGGTTTCAAAAAATGGGCTCCTGGTACTGGATATAAAATTCGCGCAAAAAACACAAACATATTATAGCAGGTTTAAAATCCAAACCCGATATACTGCCTTTTTCATAGAGATCAAGCAAGTTGATAAATTCTGCATTAAATTAATTTAGTTAATTTGCTAAATTCGCAGTACGCACTTTAGTTCGGTCACCAGCTTCTATGAGAAAACACTTGTAAAACGGTTAGGTTTTAATGTAAGGGTAGGATAAGATATTTGGTATATGAAATGAATACGATCTTATCTTATCGAGGCTTGTACTAAATAAAACTATTTTCAAGCAAAATCGTTCCAAACAAACTTAGTCGTTGGCCATTTAAGTGACAATATATATACGCCGCAAACACTACCGTAAATGCACTCGCTGACCTGGGCTATGCTGGGTCACTCAGGGCCTCTTCACATTAGCCCGATTAACCGGGCTGGCCCGGTTTTCGAGATCTCGCCTTGCCTCTAAATTCTTTGTAAAATTTTTGATGAGTTTTTCCAACCCGGAGCTCGGTAAGCAGGCTGGATTGAAACTTTAGCCCGGTGACCAGGATGAAAGCGGGATGAATTAGGCGGGCCGGATGGCATCAGGGGCACACAACGACTGTTTTCCGAGAATATCTGTTCGCAGAAGCAAATATGATGAGCGTTCCATTTAGGTATAATTTTCGAAGCTTATCAAGAAAATTCCCTCTGATTATCTGAAGTTTAATTTTTTTACATCTTTTTAATATTATTAGGCTAATTTTCCTAGAAAAAGGAAGCCTAAAATTTTCGTATTAAAAAAAAACGTTAATGTGATGGAGAGAGGAACAAGAAAAATTCTCAGTTTCGTAAAACGTTCAAATGCATCTAAAATAATTTCGAAAAGCCTCAAGTTCCCTTAGGATGACCAAACAGTAACAAATTTTGTAGCGCTGCTTAGAATGCATTACCAGAGATCAAGTAAAAGTACTCTGGATAGCCTAAAGAGTGTTTTCTATGTATTTACAGTAGGAGGAAACCGTCGTTGGGTGTCCCCGTGGCATCGTGTTGCTTTGCCTACTGTATCATAAGCATCCCATTTATCTGCAGTGATACAGCTATAAGAGTTGCCAAAGCTATTATAAGCGCAAAAGTATTACCTTTGCGTTTCTTGCTGGTTGTTTTGTTTCACCAATTTCTCGCCAGAGCTAGTGCCGGCCTTTTTTCATCTTGGAAACCGAGCTGAAATTTCTCATATGAACCGCAGCTGAAACTGGTCCCAGTAAGCTGGCCAGCCCGGTCAACCGAGCCTACGTGAAGAGGCCCTCTGTTTGTACAGTTTTCGAACCAGTTATCACTAGCTTGCAGCCTAATTGAGGTCGATTGTATTCTATATGATATAATCGCCAACTGAGAAGCGCTTCTGTTGCATTTTCGGTTGTTAATTTTTATAGAGCGCTCTCCACCCACCCGAGTTTAAGCCTGGCACCAAGACTTCTCAAACTCCACTCCCTGGGCCGTGTCGAAGGTAAGAGTTCCTTTGAGAGACTTGTACCCAGATCCCTTGCAGCCTGAAAGCTGTCTAAAGAATCAGCTTGAGCTGAGTTTTCGCATTCATTAGTTCGAGCAGCTATGCTGTTATTAGAATTGCTTTCAGGAGCAAAACCTTCATTACAAAACGATCCCTTGATTGATCTTTCCTCTTCTAAAGGCTTGTGATGTGAACGGCCCGTTTCGTTGACATTGATTTCAAAGAAATCATCCCGACTTTCGGAAACGTTTGTCCCAGATACAGTGTTCGTAATATTGTTGTTTATTTTATAGTCGCCTTCGCCGTTATTTTTGACGTTTTCATCTCCAATTGCTGCCTCTGAACTTTCCTCTTTGTGGCTGCAATATTCAGGCTCAGCAGAACAGTTTGAAAACTTTGCTTGAAGAGCGAACATTTCAAGTTTCTGAAGACTCTCTTGGGGGAGGGGCGCAAAATCAACCGACAGCCGTCCCTTGGGGGTGATACAAGGTGTGCTGGGGCGTCTTAATTGATTATAATCAAACCCACCAGATCCATCCCACGATCCTTTGCTGCCTGTAGTCGTACTACAGCCCCGCGAGCGCGATCCCAGTCCTACGCATGGGCAGAGATAGCAAAGGATTAAATTGAATTCTTTCCGGAATTGAGGGTTGCGAAAACCATAGATATAGGGATTAAGAGCACTGCTAGCAAACGCACACCAATAACCGGCCTTTCCTAGGTTCAGGACTGCTCGTTCAGTGGAGAGCTCTTTCTCGGCACTCACCAAGATGACGTACATGAAGTAGGGAAACCAACACGCTAGAAATACGCCAAGCAAAATCAGCACGGTAACCGCTACTTGCCTATGGGCCATGGCGGAGTTGGTACTACTCGTGCTTGAAATAGATACTCGACTAACGCGACGAGTGTGTTGCCTGGCGGAGCAGAAAATATTGCTGTAGGCAAATCCCATGATGCTCACCGGCAGTACAAAACCGCAAAAAATTACTATGCCTGCGTAGATGATCTGAGCTAGATTGGTGGGAAACTGGACGCCGCACTGAGTGGTACCTTAACAGTAAAGAGAGCAAAAGAAAGCCGTTTTTATCAAAATCTGTAGGCAACAATTCGCAGAAAAATTTTTTCGCATACACAAGATTGTACATAAAAGATCATTATACACTTAATAAGCAGGCAGAATGGCTGAGTGGGCTAGAGCGCTGAAATTCAACTCGGTTGACTCTGGCCATGACGCTTGGATTTTTCTCGATAGCCACTAGTTCCGTTGTTTTTATACATCACTACAAGGGAGGATCCTCTCTTGATCACTATTTTCACAGTTTTACTATTATTATTATTATCACAACACTAACATTTCAAAATTAGGTTTTAAGTGAGGGTAATTTGTGTTAGCTGTCGGGTTACATAAAAACTAGTCATTAAGGTAGTGTACCTGGTTTGAACTCATAGTTGATAACGT